GTATAAAAAGTACAGTAAAAGCAATAAGAAAACCAGAAGTCTCTGTCGAGACTGTAGCTCTACTGGTTTGTACTTATAACAAAGGATAAGAAAAGAAGCCATTGCAATCAGACCAAAACTGTAGAAGGAGTGATGTTTTAAAGGAATTTCACGGACATTTCTATTTTTAGTACTAATGGCAACATCATTCATCAAAATCAAAAACCGATGCACTATTTAATGTATCTTAGTGTAGTCTACTTGTGTGCCAAGTTAAATTGAAATCAGACCAAAACTGTAGAAGGAGTAGTGTTTTAAAAGAATTTCACAGAAAATTCTATTTTTAGTAACCACGGCAACACCATTCATCGAAATCAAAAACTGATGCACAGAATTATGTGTCTTAGTGTAGTCTACTTGTGTGCCAAGTATTATTTAGAGAACGAGACGGGTTCTGTATCGTAGATACAAATTTGGGGGTGGAGACGAGTGCGCGAGCACGAGTCTCCACCCCCAAATTTGTATCTACGATACAGAACCTGTCGAGTTCTCTAAATGATTTGTGACACGATCAATCAAAAATAGCTCCGCCCACTTTATAACTTTGCAGCATCCAAACTTCCGCCAGAGTTCTGTAGATGAGGCCCCGACGGGGAGTACGCATCCGCAGTATATATATTTCCACGGAAAACGTAAAATTCGGTCAGATTAGTTTTGACATTTTAACGGGGTAGACGTAATCGAGTGATAGTCAGTCTTAATGGATAAGGTGGAGGATTTAACCGTCATTGTTGTGATCTATTAAATTGAAGATGGAGATTTATCATAAATTTATTTCACTGAGGGGTCTTAAAATCCCGGTTTATCTAGATTAACAAAAACAGGATTTACAGAAAATTCATCGATGGACTTTGATGTCACGGATTTTTATTTTCAAATTGAATTGCGAAATTAAAAACGAAGTGAAAGAGACGTGTGGCTGTCGTCAGCGAGAAGAATTTTAAAAAATAAAAACGCGGAAAAAATGGACTTGAATGATTTTGCACGAGGAGAGTGAATGTATTCCGTTATTGTTAATTTTCCTTTTACTTAGGATCGAAATTACGTGTAGATTCTGTGTGGAATAAGTTTTTAAAAAGTGATTGAGAAATTTTGACATTTTACATTCTCAGGAAAATACCGGGTATTTCTCCAAAATTTATAATAGGAAAACATCAGCATTTACTATTTGTACGTGCTTTTGCTAAATTGAATCAGATTTATTTTTAGACCGTGCTGTATTTTAGATACAGAATAGTTGGCAAATACAATACTGTATACAGGGCTAATACAGAACGGAAAGTAGCTCCGCCTACCACAGCCCCGTTCTGTATTGCTAATACAGAACAGTAAACTTCAAAGAAAAACACCGCTATCGTGTCACAATGACGGTTAAATCCTCCACCTTATCCATTAAGACTGACTATCACTCGATTACGTCTACCCCGTTAAAATGTCAAAACTAATCTGACCAAATTTTACGTTTTCCGTGGAAATATATATACTGCGGATGCGTACTCCCCGTCGGGGCCTCATCTACAGAACTCTGGCGGAAGTTTGGATGCTGCAAAGTTATAAAGTGGGCGGAGCTATTTTTGATTGATCGTGTCACAAATCATTTAGAGAACTCGACAGGTTCTGTATCGTAGATACAAATTTGGGGGTGGAGACTCGTGCTCGCGCACTCGTCTCCACCCCCAAATTTGTATCTACGATACAGAACCCGTCTCGTTCTCTAAATAATACTTATCAGACAGTTTTCGGCCCTAACAGACCTCAAACAGTCTGATAATTTTACATATAGAACAGTATTCGGCATAAATCCATTACTTACAACTCATGAGCCATATAGCGTAGTGGTTAGTGCGTTAGTCTCACAACAGTCTGATATATCGGTATTTTATTGCTGGGGTTCGAATCCCACGAATACCATGGAATACTTTTATGAATGAAATTTTTTAAAAGAGATTTATTTTTTCTCAGAAAACGTTTTTTTCTAATAATTTCATAAATTTCAATGATGAGATGTAAATTTAAATACTCAATGTATATATCAAATGTGATTTCTTAATATCTGACGCTATAGGCATTCTGCCCGCCTTATCCGCCCATCTTCTTTCGGTAACAACGTTCTAAACGAAAAAATGACCATGGACTCACCCACCACCTCTTTCGGGAAAAAATGGTCCATGCAGTGTCCCATGATGTCCAGAAATCATTAAGGAAAGTGTCCTTTCTGACATATTTTATTTTTCAAATAAAATATGTCAGAAAGGACAAATTGAACGAAAGAAAATTACACTGAACGATGGATTTCATTAGAAATTTCAACATTTCTACTGATTGGTGTCGGGGGTCCTATATCATATATAGAAAGCTGCATGGTCAGTTTAAGAATTTTTATAGCTAAATTTGAGGGTCCAGAACAAATTTTTTTTTGTGTTTATATAGTCTGATTTCAACGGTAAAAATGAATTTTGTAGTTAGGTTTTACAACACACATTAGCTGCAATAATGTAGCCCTCTCCGATTTTTTAATCTGATGATATTTTTTGGAGAGGGTACCCCCCCCCCCCCCGGGGGGGCTACATTATTGCAGCTAAACACACATGTACGCAGCTTATTCCCCCAATATCCATTTAAATTCTGTATTTTTTCCTGAATATATCAAAATTATTTTTGAGCATTATTATCGACGGATCCCCCCCCCTCTCCCCCAAATATCAATTCAATCACTTCAAAAATTTCCAATATGATAATATAGGAATTATACCTTCTTTTGAATATTCCGTTGCACAAATCTTGGCAATGTACTTATTAATATTTTTCAATTTGTCCCTGGAGGAAATAATATTATTTTTCAATTTGCTGAGAGACATAATTATTGTTAAAGTAAGTATTGGAAAGATGCACGTGTATACGTATGTTACGTATATTAAAAAATTAGATTTTTTAATATTCGTATTTTACATTGCGATTACTCAATAGCTATAGATGTCCCTCAATAAAATGTTGCGCTCTCTCTCTCTCTCTCTCTCTCTCTGCGTCCGCGACGCCCCAATTTAAAAATAAATTCACTTATTCATATAACATCGCAAATCGATATTTTTTGTAAATTTGCTTCAAAATTGAAACTTGGAAGGTAATGGTACCTATTCCGAGGGAATATATAAATCAACGTGATCAATTTCTTGATTAGTTGCAGAAACACAACTCACTGTTTTACTGACAATATACCGGTACGTCAGTGATAAACTAGCTATTATAAATATAACCTGCATGCCAAATGCATTGACTTCAACTTTTCCATTGCCAACTTTCCTTCAACAGTATTTCAACATCATCTGCATGTTGTGTTAATTTATGTCTCTTAGATTTTTTGATATGCATAAGCGTGCTCTGAGTACGATCAATTTTAACTTGAGGCAAGTTACTGACAATTAAGTTAAAGCTACAAGGTTATCAATTCAAGTTTGCCGCCTTTTACAATTAAATTCTCCGTCGGTAATAATGATCCTATATGTGCAAATACAACCTATCGTTGTTTGAAAAGTATCAGGGCGTGAAAAGACTTCTTTTCTTTTTAATATATATTACAGCACATAATTTATTTTTCGGGCTTTGTGTGGACTGTTAGAACACTTTTTCCACATTTTGACGAATTTAAGTTCTATCAATTCCACGCGGCCTTAATTCCACCTGAGCCCAGAGATGGAAAAATGATCGTCACTTAATTTACTTCTTTTGATGTTTATTGACGCTCTAATCTTAAACCTTTAATCTTAATAAACCCTTTTATGTAGCTGCCCTTAAATGTCACCAGTCACTGTCTGATAATTGTTTATCCTTTTATTTTGGTTCTATCTTTGTTCAGTATGTACATTTAGTTGTTGAAAAACACGATAGTCGTGGATTCAGACCTTTGGTACTGATAGATCTCCAACCCATCTAAAAGTTTATTCCATGTTAATTCTAAAGTCATAGAGTGCAAAATTTAAAAGTGCAAAAATTATGTGTGTTGGTTGTTAGTTTTTAAAATCTGGCTTCAACAATAAAGATATAAATTATAACCCGTAATGGTTGTTAGAATTTTTTTTTAATCTGTGTTAAACAGGGAAAAATTCTGGTTGGCCAGAATTAGTGATGGTCAGATATAATAGGGCAAATGCCAATTAGTGTATCGAATAACCAATTATATTGTCTCATCCTGCACAGAGGTGGAGCTTAGGTTGTCTCATCATTGTCAACAACAATTTAAAGTTCCTGATGTTATTAATTTCTGAACCAATGAGAATCTATTCGCCATTTGACAGGCGGTAAACATGTAGCACCGAGAATGCCACGCCTTACTGAAAGTCCAAACTAAGCATGAAATGGTTCTATAAGATAGATCCCTGCAGGTTCCTTGTCTTCACATTAAAACTTGAACCACCTTGGCAATGAAAGCAGCTTCCTCTTGGTGCCCCAGCATTTCTGTTGGTTATGCCTCCATGTTCTTGCCCAAGAGTGATGAAGCAAGGAATTTCACTACACATTATTATCCAATCTATGTGTACATGTATATGCATATGAACATTGGATATAAAAGAGAGGACTTGCAATAAATTCATCTTTGTACAAAAATAATGTCAATTGCAAAATATTACTTTACAATTTCTAGACAACTAATTCTTTAGAAACTTTCCCTCCATTCAATCACAAAATAATTTTTCTATTTTGCGAGAAAATTCTTTTGAGCAGATCCAGTCTCTAACAACTTTTGAGATTTGTACATTCTTTCAATCATGCAATTCTTCAAATCCTGTGATGTCATACATGTATATTCTTGTAATAAATAATCCTGAAATAAATTCCCTTTTGCATTCAGTCATTTGTCATTGAAGATCCATGGGGAGGAGCTAGACCCTCTTAACCCAACCCATTTTTCCAAATCTTTTGAAACTGTTTCTAGAGCACAATCAAATTCAAGAATAAAAGATTACTATAATCTACCATTATTTATTCTGATAAAATAGGTGGGAAAACATTGCTGTAATTGATATGAGATTTAAAATATTCTGTAAAAAAAAAAATTCATTGCAACATTTCTTTTCATTAATAAAGTACAAATTAGTAAAAGTAGTCAAAATGTAAGCACATTATCAATATTTGCCATTTCATATCTGTATAAAAAGTACAGTAAAAGCAATAAGAAAAAAATGTACAGCAAATTTTCCGAAACTAAAAAAAAAGTATCATGAACTAACAAAAATCTGATATATGTTGATATCCAGAAAATACAAAATAACTCACTCATCTAGCGCTCAGAATTACATATCATTATATCTGCTTGAATTTAGCAGTTATACAACTTAGAGACAATTTATAATATTATGTTAAACATCATTGGTTTGTGATTGGGTTTACATTTTATATGAAAGGTACACATGTGATCATGGTTTTGTTATTTTTGTTTGCATGTATTAACAATTAACACAGATGCTTTTAACATAAATTAAAAGAAGCATTAAATTCTTACAACATTTAATATAACGTCTCATTGCTGCCTTTTTTCACATATAAACCACAGTACTTTGGATTAACTAGTAACACATTGAATCTTTACTTGTTTACCATACACTTAACAAAGCAATGAAATGATAAAATATCAAAGATGAATATAACTTCATCACTCATTCTATAAACTATACATCATTTTTTCTGGTAAATGTGGTGGTAAAAAAAAATTGGTTTTACATCCATATCTGACTATTCCATAAAGACAAAAATCATAATAACTCTCTTTCCATCTCTTTTAATAAACTAACATTTACACACTGTGCTTCACACATGAACACTTTGTCTTAAAGGAATAGCCCGAATAAACAGCAGCTTTTGGCCCTGAGGAGGACACAGTCATTCTACAAATTTACAATACACTGTATACACACACTTCTACACACAGCTGGAGGAGTGGGATCCAGACACATGTCTCTGTTTGCACTTGCCCATGTAAAGTCATCGTCTGACCAGTCATCGCCTAAGCGTCTTCCTCATCGTCGTCGTCCTCATCTTCCGGCTCCTCCTCCTCCTCTCCAAGATCTTCTTCCTCCTCATCCTCTTCGTCTACCTCGCCGTTGTCCTCGCCTTCTAATCGTTTATAGTCTTCCTCATCATCACCAAATAATTCTCCGAACGACTCGATGACCAGGAAGTTCTGGAAGTGTTCCTCCGTTAACTCTTCGTTTCCGTCACGCGCAACTAACGCGCTCCTCATTCCTGCTTGAGTGGCTGCGGTGGCCTCTGTAAAATAAATTAAACCACAAGTTATATATATTTTTTTCTAATGAAATAAGCTTATCATATATTTTTGGTACTACTGTATAAAACCAGGTGTTGGTATAAGCAGTTTGCATCACTGTCTTGAGTTTCAGTTCATACTATGTCATCTAGAAGCTTAAATAAACGAATGTATAAATGTACAGTAAATTATCTCCAACTTGACAGGGCCATGAAAAAAAATTGGAGATACACTTGGACTCCAGACGTCAAGGTTCATAACTTAAAGAATATGTAGCTGGGACATCCAAATCACTTCAACATATCCCTTATATTCAAGATATCAGTGTTTGAGATACTGAGGTTCAGCTGACACATGTTTTTCAGGATATGAATTCAGTGCATTACAATTTCATTTGTCATTTGATCAGAAAAACTTCTTCCTACCGTCAGGCATGTCTGTTAGGAACAAGATCTCTTCTGGATTTACATCAATTTTCTCTGCTATCTTCTTATAACTGGACGATTCCTTTTTACTTCCTATTGTTGTGTCAAAAAAGTCTGTAAAGAGCTGTAAAAAAGAAAAAGGTAGACCAATCACTTTATCATTAACATGTAAGCAGATTAAAACTGCCTTAGATGAACTGTAAGGAAAACCTGAACTTTTGTTGAAAGTTTACCACAATAAAACAATTCTATCTGAAATTTATTTCTATAGATAAATATTGTTCTCCATGACAATATTCCTGTCATAATATCAATACATCTTTGTCATTCTTTAGCTGACCAATGTCCACAAAAGACATCCTATAAACTGAAAATAGACTTAGTTTTGATTCTGAATAACTTCAGTTTTATTCAATGTATGTTCTTAAAATTTTGCAGTTATGTTTAGTAATGGAACGATTGTCGCCGACAATCGATTGTCGGTCGTTAGAAGCTTTTCGATGCTACTAATCGATTATAAAATAAATGTCGCCGACATCGGTAACAAAAAATAAAATTGTCATACTTTAATTTTATTACCAAATCCAAGTGCAAAGAGCATAAAAGTAGTGATGAATGTTAAAAACATGCAAGGATTCCGTATCTTGTTGATACTTTTACCGCCATGATTAAATATGGGGTTAGACTAATACCAGGAAATGGTAATATTGCAATCTTTTACTATACAAAGGAAAACATAGTTAGTCTAGTCAATCTTTAAACGTAATTATAATCATAAATACAAGTCTTACTTCTGGATAATTACTTTTAAAACTTGCAATTTTAACTAGTTAAAACTAATTTTAAGAAATAGATACATGTATTAAATGAAAGGTGGATCTAATATCAGTAAAATACCCATTGCATGGACTTTGTAAAAAAAAAAAAAAATAATAATAAATTCCCATTCTGTTTCAATAGTCCTATATTGTTTTAAAGTAAACAAAATATTATTTTCCACTTTAAAAAAAAAAATTTCAGTTATTTTTTTTGAATATTTTATGTAAGTAAATGTTCTTTTGTAAAAGTCTGACAGAAATCTGATTAAGTTGTAACTTTTCTATATTAATTTCATTAAAGTTCAAAATTTCGATTATAATCGATTATTAATCGATTATGCCCAGCCGATTATTACCGATAATCGATTCTGATTTTTTCCCGATTCCCCATCACTAGTTATGTTTGATATTCAAATTCCTACAAATTATGCAAATTTACTTTCATTATCGTTTTTTTCCCCCAAAAGTTATATTGATTAGAATTTTTTACTTAAGTCTATTCTCAGTTCATATCATGGGACCTGGTCTTCATAGCCTAAATTCTCTGTAATAGAGAGCACCTTGTGGGCACCAAAACCCTACCTCTAGCAGGTCCCCCTCCTCTGTGTTCCCAAACAACAGTTTCTGGGCCTCCACGCTCCCGGAGGAGTACACGTAAACATTGATCCCCTCCTCTACAATCTGCTGTAAGGCTGGACCCACATCCTCAAACAGTCTAAAATATAAATAATTTGAGATATAGACACATTCCAACATCACCAGAAAGTGGATAGTGGAAAAACTGTAAGGACAGGTCTTCAAAATTTTTCTCATCTTCTCACAAAGGGACAATTTTTTTTTTATTTGGGAGATCTAAAGAAAACCAAGTAATGTTTTTCAGCCCTATTTTAAAAGCAACCTCTTTTGTTCATTTAGGAAAAAATAAACATTGAATTAACAGTACAACTGGGATATACAGTTCTTCTCGCAGTTCTTTTTGCATTTGAAATCAGTTTTCTCATTAAAAAAAAAAATAATTTGTTTAAAAATTCAATTACAATGGTAATCACTTGGAAGTGATGATAAGACTTAACTTGAGCAGCCTCTTGCTCTGACAAATGCTATGCAGGAAATGAAATGCAGCATATGAAGGGGTTAGACAGCACACACTCGAGAGTGATAACTTACTCTGCCTTAATTTTCCCCGTCTTGTACCCCTCCCTCCAGATGTGCCCCTGCAGTTGTTTTAGGGCTGTGGTCTTCCTGTCGGCATCCATCTGCCATTTGACATTGGCTACCACTGCCTTAATGATCTCCTCTTTTGAGCCCTCCTTGGGAATTTCTATCACTCCCTCCTGATCATCGGCTTTTTCCTTTATTGCCTGAAAATTTATTTCCAAGCAAACTTGTTTAAAAGCAACTATTTACTTTATCCTTTCAAAATATATTAAAATATAATTGTTTCTTAATGTTATTTCCTTTTTTTCATTGCAAACAAAACAGTGAAATAAACTAGAGCAAAGCTCGTTGCAAAGCAACGAGTAGGTCTTCCGTCCTGTTTGACCGGAAGTAGCTTTCATTTTTAACAAAAATGAGAAATAACACCCAAAAATGCTTTGAATTCTCTAAAGCTATGTTAATTAATGCAAAAATAAGCCATTTTTTGCTACTTCCGGTTTGACCGGAAGTGACGACGATGCACAGAAAATTAATTTTTAAGCTCCCAGAGACATATGTTACCCAAAAACTTGTCAAAAACGGCAAAAATACGCGTTTTCCGACTACTTCCGGTTTGACCGGAAGTGACGACGCTGGACGTATTTTGACGACTCCATTAGATTAAGCTTGACATTTTCAACAACTTTGCTTCTTTGATGTATAACAAATTCTCAATACTTTTTGAGATATCTGGAAAAAAACTTTTGGCCCCTCTAGATCCCTCAATTTAGGGGTCAGCCCTTTTTCCGACATATCATTTGAAAGATCTTCTAATTCTGCACAAATTATGTTCTATATATTTTAACAAAATATTTTTAGTTTAGAAGATAAAAAGCAAAATATGAGTAATTTTTGGTTCTATTAAGCGTTCTAATTTTTGACCCCTATATAGCGCCATTTTTAATAGAGAAATCGAAAAACAAAAACCGATGTGCACAACTTCAATCCTTCTATTATCTAAAATCGGTAGAATTTCTGCTTCAGCTTTAGCCGTCTCTGAGCCTTTGTCTGGAAACGAAAGCCTATAAATTTTCATTTAAAGGGAAATAACTCAAAACCGGAAGTGACTTTTTGAAATTTTAGACAGCATTCTGATAGAGTTTAGTAACTTCTAATATCTCTGAAAATTTGAGCGAAATCAATTGAGAAATGAGTGAGATATGAGGCTTCAAAGTTGGCGTCTAGGAAGTAGAAGAAAAAAAAAGAATAATAATCTTTACCAACAGAATCAGTAGAAGGTCTTCTGTTGGAAACGGAAGACCTTAAAAATCCTGTCATCAAATTAATTTCAAAAGTAATAATTAGAACATAACTTGATTGACTGAATGATTAACTTACCAGTTCTTGGAGTGCAGTAATATCTGCCTTGGTTTCTTCATCATCAAACCTCTTTTTCAAATAGCTCTCAATGTTTTCTTCTACATAAGGGAAAAGTGTTTCCTGTCAAAAAATTTAAAGAGAATTACGTCTTGATCAAATACCCGTCATTTGTTTATTCTTGCATACCCAAAGCTATGCTCAGAAATACAGTACAGTATTACTGCAATCAATATAGAAATACATAGAAGTAAATAAATAATTTATTATAGTGACATATGTACTTCATTCCGAAGTACAGAGGGAATAGAAATTAACTTAACAGTTAACGACCTAGGCCCACTATAACTGTGAATCTGTGACTATATGTCACTGTTTGACAAAGGAGTCTAGCCAACTTACATTCATAGCTTAAATGTATAATATGATTTATAAGCAATATTATATATGTGCTTTTATAATAATATTAGAAATCAATATTTCTCAGTGCCACTCATGAAAGTTGCTTTTATATTTGTGTATAACTGTCTTAATTTTCTTTTACAGTTATATACAATGTTCAAACTTGTCATTATATGAAAGGTGGGGAGCAGCTAATAAAATTGACATAAAACAAAAAACAATCATAAACATGATAAAGTTTAAAATCAGAAAATTATCAATCAGGAAATGATTCATTATTGAATTATTTCTCCCAAATACACGCACAATTTCCTTAAAGTCTACCGTCTTCTAATCTAAAAGGTTTGCAATGTCGGTGCTGTAAATAACTTTTGACCTGTACTGTACAGTCATGAAATACATAGGATTTGAAATATGCGCCATTTAAGATATTCAGCTTTCACTTGTCTAAGTTGATAATGTAATATACGTGACATTCATACTTAGTTAACATAATCATTATGAATCCTAAAATTAATCAGAATATGACCCTACCATCGGCATGTATACTCTGTTGCTGATGCACAAGCCGGAAGAAGCATGTCGCGTAAGAGTAATACATTTAAACACGCATCCCCAATGGCCAATGCTCATCGATTTCATACCTTGACAAATCCTATAGGCGTTGTCGTTCCTTCTATGTCTACAATTAGGGCCTTTACACCTTCTAATAATGATGGTTCAGCTTCATCTAACGTTCTTTTTTGCTGGCCTTCCATTCTCTTGCCTGAGACCTACCAACGCTATCTCAACAAAGAAATGGCACAGTTAAAACAGGTGCGCGTTTTGTCGCCGACAGAGGGCGTTTTACACTGCCTCGCTTTCAAGTCAACGTTAAGGTGGCTTTCATTTCTTTTCTACAGAGGATATTTTCTTTGCAACGCGATTGCATGCAAGAACCAATTGAAATTTCGAAGAATTTCATGAATAAATCAAAGTAGCACAGCTGCGTTGAATTGTATTTGTCACAGACAGCGAAAAGTTCTCTCTAGCAGACGAATATTTAGAGAATGCATATTAACCAATCAAAATCTTCGACACATCACTGGTTTCAGTTCGGTGTGCCACCATTGATGGAAGGCTACGGAAGGGAGAACAGTGAAAAGTGTCTGCTAAAATAATGTCAAAAGGCTTCTAAGAAGAAATATTTCGCTTAATTTTTGTGTGATTAATTGTAAACTTTTAAGGGAGATTTTATTTGGTGAATTTTAAGTGATATTATTATCGAGAAAGGGAAAAACTGGAAACCGGCTAGTCGTGTTCCCGGTCTTGACACTGCAACTTGCCGACGTGGACGATAAGCGTGTAAGGTTTCGATGGATAGACAGAAAACAGACAGTTTTCTCTAAGTTTAACGTCACGGCATCGGTTTTTACTTCATTATTTGTGTAATATTTCGGATAATTTTAAGTTTATTAGTTGATAACTTATTCTACGTAATTAAAAAGGGGCGTGGTGTTTGTACGTGCACTTGTTCTCAGTCAGGTGTTTCATTCTACATTGCCCCCTTCTACCTCAGAACTGAATATAAACATGGATCCGCATGTGGTTTTAATAGGAGTGACAGTTTTCATAGTGTCAGCCATCTTAATTTATTTGATATCTGTCTTCGGCATAAAAGAAAAGTCGTATGAAGAAGCTATAGCTGAGCAGAAGAAGAGGTTTGAAGAAGAGCAGGAGAAGGCAAGAAGAGACAAGAAAGCAGGAAAGGAGAAGAAGGAAAAGAAAGGAGGTAAAACTAAGAAGGACAAACCGAAAGAGAAAGTAGATGAAGTCCCAAAGGAGACCAAGGAAGTTCCTAAGGAGCATAAAATGGTCAATTTGGAGATTGAAGCCGAGATCATTGAACCTATCGAAACAATAGAGACCTCCAAGTCTCTTCCCAACCTCAGGCAGAGAAAGCACCCTTCAAAATCCATCTTGGCCAATAAGGATGAAAAACCACTAATAGCCAAAGAGACGGTGGAAGTCCCACATTTTAAACCACCCCCAAAGGATGAACTGGATTTAAAACATAAGCATGAAAGAGAGGGCAAGAGGAAGGATAGCAAGAGCGAGAAGCCAGAGAGTCCGAAGTCCGGTAAGAAACAAAAGCCGGTAGAAGAGGATTTCATGGTGGAGCACGTGTCTAAGGTCACAGCTGCTGCAACTGAAAGCAAACAAAAGAGATCAAAGCATTTCCAAGGTAGAGTATTGTCTGTAATCAGGTGTGAAAATGTATCCAGATCAATCAACAACCAAAAAAATTAATAATAAATTAATAATAAATTTGTCTTCATCAATTGATTCAGTATCATTGAGAATTTATTGGGTTCAGAAGTTATTTTTTGTGGTAAAACCAATGGGAAAATAGATTTATGAGTCAATAGATATTTTTGTTTCATATAAGCATCGTGAACTTGACTGCCCTAAGATTTAATTGCATGTATCAGCATTAAAGTTATTGCTTCAAGGTAATAATATCAAGTAACAAATTTAAAGGAAAAAATACACTGTATTGAGTTATTTGACCCAAATAATTTAACAGGTAAATTACGAAATGCATCATTTAACATCCACAGCCGAGACAACATATTTTCACTGTGGGTGTTGTACGTGATTTTTATTCATATTTTTAGTTCATTGAAGACTTTTGAAATTAAATGCTTAATATATATATTTTCATTTTAACTAATCACGTTATTAATGTTGTTTATAATTGTAATATGAAATTTCATGTATTCCTTAAGTACCAGTTGTCATATTTGATTGCTAGGAATTAATATAATAAATATGAATAATTTATAAATACTTACAAAAATGAATGTTCTAATAACTGATTAAGACTTGAAGTTAAAAACCTACCTGTATATTATATATAAAAATCTTTGTAGATTTTTTTAGGAAATAAATAAAAGGCCTAATATTTTTAAAGGTTACATATAAACTTTCTTAACTCATGTTAATGTTTTTCATCATGTTGTAAAAAAAAAATCCATTTATTGACAGAATCATTTTGTCATCTCTGTTTCTAGCTGATATTATAAATAATAAATACACTGACTACAAAGCAGATAGGACAGTTAAATATGTACATTGCTGTCTTTATGAAGTCATGTGAAGTCATGAATAGCTGTCAGCAAATCAAAAGAAGATTTATCTAGGTAGCACATGTATTTACTGCATGTGTTGTTAATATCAAGTCTAACAGCAGTTTAGCCAAATACTGATGTATTAAAAAGTCCTGCCTACCCACATGACCCACATACATAAGTCTCACATTTTCAGATGAGTTGAAATTAATTTTGTTTTCCATACACATTTCCTGTATTTTAAAAGCAGACTTTTGAGTTTTCCATCCATTTTGGACACTGTTGAGAAGATTTTTACATTGAAATCATTAAGATAAATGAGAAGATAAACCCTTTATAATTTTTGGGGGTGGGGGAGTTAGCTACTAAGGTTGGGTTTGATCCCATTTTCCAAAAGGAAAGTGCCAAGCTAGTAATTTTATAGCTGTGAATTTTGGACATTCGAACTGTAAATCCTGAATAATTAGTCTTAGAGCTATTAGATCTTTATTTGAGCTTGCTTGGATTGTGCTGTTGTAGAACCCTTGATGGACGCCTCTGACCTGATCATGTCTGTAAGGACTGCACAGCTGGGGGACCAGGACACCCAGACTCTGATTGAAATCCTCCTCAACAAGCAAGGCGGGGGAGGGGGAAATATATCCTCTGAGTGGAATAAGGTAATTCTACGCCTTATTGAATACATTGTATAACGTAAAAGTATGAATTGCTCAATAGTTCCAACTTATGTATTTTTTGTCTATTTGTGAGTAAAAGAGTTATTTCCCTTGATTTTTTTTTTTTTTATAAATATCAACAAGTATATGTACAGAAGATAATATTTTCCTCTTAATTCTGAAATTGAATGTATTTATATGGTTTGCATATTCACAGAAAAGTCAGAAGGGGGACCCTATTGTTTTGTTGAGAAGACAGCTGGAAGAGAAGGAGAGGGCTCTTCAAGAAGGTATTTTAAACCAACTAACTTTTTTAGCAATTTTTATTCCTTGTATGTATGCTTGAAATCTATCCATACATTCCAACAGTAAATACACAAATTTATAAAATGTTCTCAGTGAGAAATATCTCTGAGTAAATGAGGGCTGTTAAACCCATGGATATATGTCTTACATGATTATTAAAGAAAATTGTATTCTTTTGTTGTGTGGAAACTCTATGTGAGAAATTTGATGAATGTGAAAAATGTGAAATGTTACAGAGCAAAACCTTGCCATGGCTAACGCAAACAAAATCAAGGAAATTCGACAAGAGTTGGCCCATGAGAAGACTCGATTCACAACCTTGGAAGAACAGTACCAGGGGAAGATAACTGCACAGACCCAGGAAATTCAGGCCCTTCACGCCCGCATGCAGTCCACACATGAGAGTCACCTGATAGAAAACAGCAGAATGCAGGCTCATATCAATAAACTGGAGCAACAGGCTCAGAACCAGGGGCAACTTCAACAGTTAAAGGAGGTAGGGGCTCAAGGCTCAGGGTAGAGGGAGGGGGGGTGAAGTCTTAGGTTGGAGGCTCAAGTCTCAGGGTAGAGGTCAAATCTCAGGGTGGAGTCTCTTGTCTCGGAGGGTAGGGGTCCAAATCTCAAAGGGTATTGGGTCCCTAGTCTCAGTTCCGGACTCAAGTTTTAGAGTGAGAGGGTAGGGGGACCAAAATCTCGGGATAGGGTCCAGGTATAAATGTAGAGGGAACAAGTCTAGTGGTATGAATCCAAGTCTAAATGTAGGGGGATCAAGTCTAGTGGTAGGACTCTAGTCTTAAGGTAGAAGGCTTAAGTCTTAGGTTAAGGGGCTTAAGTAACATTGTAGGCTCCTTTGTTTTTATAAGGAGGACTTGTATTGTTGAATGATTATTATTTGCTTTTCAAGATTCTAGAATTCAAAAAGTTCGCATGTGAATGAATGAAATTAATTTGAAAATTTTTTATTTGCAGGAAAATAGAAAGCTTAAGGAATCATATGAGAAAGTAAAGTGAGTAATGAAATTAATCAACTTATTTTTCTCTTAATCTTATGTCTTATTGTGATATTCTTATCAGTGAGACAATTATTTTTTTCTCTCTTGCTTAATTCTAAAGTTAATTTAGCATTCTTCAGATTCTGTTTTGATTGAACGTCATTGATTTAATATGGGTTTTTGGTCACTACAGAGCTGAAGCTATCCCGCCTGCAGAATTTAATAGCCTTCGTCAGAAAGTTTCCATCATGGAAAATGAATTGTCCAGCAATGTAATCAAGCTCGCCTCAGCAGATAAGGCCAAAAGTGCTGCATTATCTAAGTGTGCCAAGCTGGAGGAAGAGATTAAAAAACTCAAAGGAACAGAGGTAGGAAGTTCTACATGTTTGTTACAGGAATTCATATTGTTTTGTACCAGATTCAGGGTTGTCTTTCAGAGTTTAGACCCAGGGGCCATGGAATTTCTCCACATATAATGGCATCTCCTGGTTATTCTGGCATTGTTCTCTCAACCCTCACCAGGGGGTGGAGGGGTGGGGGGGGGACACAAGACACCTTCCTACTTTTATAATGCCCCCTTTGTAATTTACTGCCTACGATCAGCCCTGCAGATCCTTCTGAATAGGCAGTAATCTTGTACACTAATATTAATTTGAGAGTTTCATAATCCAAAGAAAAAGGAACATTTTCATGGAGTTGACTTTGTCAGGCTTTTGTGGTACCTGTACAATATTGTATAAATTATATGTACATTTTGTAATTCAGAGTGACGCAGAAGGGGTGTGGTCCAAGAGGTTAGAGGAAGTCAATCAACAGCTGCGTAAGAGTGAGAACGAGAAGAAGACCCTCGCGGATAAACTCAAGACGGCCGAGAAGGACTGCGCCGGGGTCAAGGCCAGACTGCAGGAACTCGAGAAGGCACTGAACGGAAACGACGCCAGCTCCAAGGAACTGGAAGAAAAACTCAAGGTATGTTGTATTATATTTTATTGTTTTAATGAAAAAATAGTTGGAAATGATTCATCATTGGCTAATGCTCAATCTGAAGTATTTTTTGAAAAGAATCAATCGTTGATGTATAGTTAAGAAATGTTTCATATTTATCTAGGAGTCTCATTTTCACAAAAGGCCCTCAACGCTCTTATTTTAAATAACCTTATCAGAAATTTCAGTAAAGATGTAATTCCGGAAGATGGTAACATTAGATTAAGTATAATATGTGTAGGGATCAGCCTCTTTGTACAAAGCCTAACATATTTGATATCCTTACATCTTGGTAAATCACATGTTGTAGATATAATCCTTATAAGATTTATCTTAGAAGTAAAAATAAATAACTCAGCACATTTTTTTTAACAATATTCATTATCTATCTGAATCTGTCATCAGCAAAATTTTGATTGGTATGATTAAATCAGGGGGAAGCTTAAAGAAACATTTTCTTCCTAACGTGGAGAATTATACATTAAGTAGGAATATTATTTGATGTAGGTACTGTGTGTTAGACACAGGTAATCTTCTTGTGCTGGTTATATACAATAAAAAGGAGACATGTGCTCTTTTAATACTAGTTATTGATTAACAAACTATTTTCACAAAAAAAAGGTTTCTCATTATCTCTGCAAATTTCAATTTTAAAGAAAAAGCCCCATTACATGCATTAATTGAAGGCACAATATACATTAAGTATATGTTAATAGTACAACTATGTTTGCCATAACATTTGATAAATTATGAATGTCTTTGTAGATGACTGAGACAGCCAAGGCTTCTGTTGAGTCCTCACTGAAGACGACAGAGAAAAAGCTACAGGAGATAGAGAACCAGAAAAATAATATCCAACAGGAACTAGAGGTAGTTAAATATCAGGAGAGGGGAATAGCATTTAAATTTGAATTTGGAAGGAAAGGAATAATTTCCCTGAACGTTTTATTGTCAAAATGTTAAATTTTATTCATTCTCTGCATTTGATCCTTTTAGTATAGATGTCTGATTATTGTTTTACAAGTAGAATGTATTTAAGATATTAAACATTGAATCTCCATCTTACTCGTGAATTCTTGTCAGACTTGTATACAGTTAGCATACTCTTTCATGCGGTCATATTTCCTCACAGTTATAAATTATGTGAATCGGCAGGTAGAAAATCACACAGATATCTTAGATTCCCACAGTATGCCATTGCCACCTATAGGTAAGGGTGAAACGTTTACAGAATTTTGTAAACGATTAAACGGACAGCAGTAAACGAAACGGTATCGTTTAAACGGGAGAATTTTATGTGTTGAATTTTTATGGCTTCTTACTCATGAAACACTATTTTAATAAACCATTCTTTAACTATAATGTATCGAGATAGTAATATAAAAATATAATACGATAACACTGAGTGTTCCGGTTTACGTTCAGTTTTTCAAGGCTCTATATTCAAGTAATTCAACATTATACCGTTATAAGCATGATGCTTTTTATTTTCTAATCAAATAAAAAGCAACAACAGGGGTTATTTATTTTAGAACATATACTTGGAAAAATAAAATAAAACATCGCTAGTTTTCACTACTCAGAAATCGCAATTAAATATGTTAAACCATTTTGGTTTCTAGGTAGTTTTGTTTAATATTGCGTTTCCGATATCGATTATAACAGAAAAAGAATGTTTGTAACAGACACTGAGTGTGTTTTCTTTGGTAAAAATGAAATAAAACAACTTGTTTGGATGAAAGGGTTTTTTTTTCTGATAGACGTTGATATTAACCTTCGTGTAAACGTTTACTCAATTTGTAAACGTTTAGGGCATGTAATCGAAACGTCGCCGTTTACACGTGTAATCGTTTCGCCCTTACCTATAGGATGCCAGGATAAATTTTCATAGACAGCTGTGACTCTGAACCTATCATAAAATAATACCATTTTGGGAAAAAAAAACTTTTATATTATCTTTGTAATGTTTAAATATTAAATCTATGTTTGTAGACTTTGAAGATGGAGAATAAGAAGCTGGTAGAGGAAGCTAAGGTAATCCGCGAGCGACCACTGGGTGATGGACAGGAAGCACCTAAAGCCAAACCAAACGGAGACATTCTCAGTGAGGAGAAGGCATTACAGGAATACAAAGAGGCCATGGAGGAGTACAAGAAAACGTGAGAAATTATAACACTTGGTGGGAAATTGTCATGGAAATTTTAAAAAATAGATTTATGAAATGCAGTGCATTTTTAGATGATTGACATTGCTGTTTTGCAAATTCTCATGAATGAAAAATAAGACCACATGATATAATACTGATATTTTAAGGTACATGTATGAGATTATCTCCAATTTAAATGATTCATGTTATAGGGTTGCAGAAAAAGATAAGACTATTCAGAGTTTACAGAGTGACATTGATGTCCAGAAAAAAGAGGCAGCAAAATTACTGGAGCAGATAGAGGCTCAGAAGAAAAAGAATAACGTAAGTGTCAGTTGGTCACACAGCTGGGGGCATGTAGCATGGTACCTCAATCATTAAACAGAATGTTTTACAAAACAATGTTTACAACATACTAATTCTAGGGGAGATAACCCAAAAGTTTTGAAATCCTGAAATTGAAAAAAATTTTGAAAATCTGGCCATCATGCTTATTGCCTGTTTGAACTTTGCCCCTACATTTTTTATCATTAAACCTCAGATACCAGGACATTTATTTTTATCAAATAATCAGAAATTTGAAAAGAAATTTATTTAAAGTCAGTTCAAAATTGTGAAGGATGAAATCTTGGTATTAATGTAGGAATTGAGAGAAAAGAATTGGAAAGCTATGGATGCTTTAGAAAAGGCCGAAAAATCAGCCTCTGATAAAATTACACGTGTTGAAAAAGAAGTCAAGGTAAATTATCCACTTTTGAAGAATGCTAACATTGAGAGGCAGAGATTGATGTTGTCTTATTGTTTAATTTAGTAATCTTTAACACATGTGCTCTAAATGCTTTCGTTTCTCTGCATGTAACAGCAAGTGAGTAAAATCTTTATTTATCATGGGTGTTAAAATGATTGAAGGATTTAGATATTTTTTTGCATGTGTTGGTACTATTTCTTGAGGGATCATAAAGTTTAAGGTGGACAAAGTCTGGTATATACAAAATTTATTATTATTAAATATATTAAATTTGACAAAATAAAAATGCTATATTTTATTTCTCTTGATCTAGTGTTTAATGGTTAAATGATATGTGTGCATGAACTAATGTAATTTCAATAGTTTATTTTTTTTTAATATGATTATTACTATAGGCCTGTTTTTTGCTTGTTATGCTCTTTTTCTTTTTTTATGCTCCCCCCCCCCTCCAAAAAAAAAATTTCAATTTTATCAATGGATAAATTTTGTTCCAGAATGATTATAAAAATCTCGGTATATTTCATTCAGAAAAAGACAAAACATAATAATATATTATTAATCTCAATTGCATGAAATATAACAATCGACGCATTTGCTTAAAAGAAAGAAGTTTTATAAAGCGATTTCAAAATGTATCAGTTACAAAACTTGTTTAAAGTATAATGAAATGGTGTTTTATTTCAGGAGCAGACCACAGCAGCAGTTACAGAGACAGAAAAATATGACAAAAATATACTACAGAGGCTGTTCCCCAAGATTTCTGTCAGCGATAAAATGGTGAGTTCTTGGATAAAACGTGAGACTGTACTGATAATCTTTATAAAGAAAGCATGACCATTGAAAATACATTGATACAGACTACAAAAAAGTGCAAAACAGAAATTTTTAACTCAATACAAACTGTTAGATTTGCTTGTTGAACTGGATTAGTTAATATCTGGATTGTATTAACATTTTCTGAGCATAGAAAAATTTATTACACAAATTTATTGCTTAAAATTTTAAAAATTTTGTTTAATTTCAGAATCACAAGGATTGGATGAACAGTTTTGAAAAAGAAGCTGCCGTCCAAATAAAGGCAGCCTTAGAGAAAAAAGATGATGTAAGGAAAATTTTTCTACCAAATCTTTCAAGGAAGTTTCAAGATTTTATTTCAAGGACATTTCCTAAATTCTTCGCAAACTTTTCCTGGACAATTTATTGTAAAAAAAACTATCTGTATTTTCTTTTTAATGTCCCTTTACAGAGTGCCAAATTAAAAGAATTAGAAGACAGCAAGAACTCGTTACAGACGCAAGTAACAGACCTGAAGAAAAAGGTTTCAGAAGTAAGAATTATGATCCAAGGAATCAATCCTTTGAAAAGTATGTCACAGGGAAATTTACATTTTACTGATGTTTGATGTGATCTAAATTTCAGAGTGCCAAATTGGAAGCTAGAGTGAAAGAGTTAGAGAGCAAGAATACACAGCTACAGAAGCAGTTAGGTGACAGCAAAACCGAGTCCTCCTCACAGGTAAACAACAAACACAACTCTAAAACAGATGAAATACCACATCTTTTCTCCCCTTTTAAAACCCTGAAATCTTCTCCTTGTACTTCTGTTGGTGAAGTGTTTATATCACCTTTTGTAATGTCCTGTCCACTGTTTTCCTGCTATATATTGCACTCACCTTCTCCTTTATTTCTCTGTTGATAAGATTACAGCTGCACAGAGTCTAGTAAAAGACTTAAAAGAACAAGTTAAACAGCTAGAAAAAGAAAATGAAGAGAATAAGTCTAAACTGGACCAGGTTTGTTTTTTTGTTGTCAACTGACAGAAATGAGTGCTCTATTCTCTGTGAAAGTATTGAAAGATCTACAACATCAGCGGAGTTTTATTCCTAACTTTGTTTCTATTTATAGAGTAGCAGCAGTGACTCGCGGGTTCAGGAACTCGAGGAGGCCAACAGGAAACTCCAGAAGCAGGTGGAGGATTACTTAGCTGTTCTACAGACCACAGTAAGTGTACAGCTAGGGATAGCCTTATTATTATCATAGTTGTTTTAACACTCAAGCGCCGTGGGTATTGTTTGGTTAAGATTTAAGATTGGACTTATCAACATCACTTTTGTTTTCATTGCATTCCTACAATTTCTGAAATTTTGAATTTGTTAATTTTTTGTTCATGTCAATTTTTATGTGTAATCTACATAGTCTCTAATTTGAATTTCTTCACCATTAGTAAATTAATTGTTACATGAGATTTGTAACACTGATGTGTTTTTCCACAGGAGACAAAACTGCAGCAGCTAGAGAACAGTGTAGAGGGGGAGGAGAGAAAGTGGCAGGACAAGGCAGAGGCCCTCACTGTAGAGTTAAAACAGGTCAGAGGTCAAATGTAGAGTTTAAAGGTCAAATACCGTATAAGTGGAAATTTTAGCGAGACACAAATTTAGCAATTTAACCTTTAAAATTGGTAATTTATTTTTAGCTAGATGTGATTTTAGCGATTTTTAAAAAGCTCACTAAAGAGCCTATTACAATAAACCGATATTAATAAGTAGTGATATTAAATTTTAGCGATCTTGATACCCTCACTAATAATGCCAAAATTAAATTCTCCCTAAAAATTCTACTTATATGGTATAGACTTCAGAGGTCAAATGTAGGGTTAAAATAGGTCAATGAAATGTTTAAACTAAATCTGGAATCATTGAACATTTGGATGATGATCAGGTCAAGAGTGTGCCCAAATTCATACAAAAGAATTTGACCAAAAAATTTGTTTAGTTCATAATGCATTTTATTAGCATGCTGAAAAACTTTCACACATGTATGAAGATTAAACAATGTATATTTACTTTTCAGGCAAAAGATGAAATTGCCTCTTTGAAACAAGATGTAGATAAATACAAAAACAGTGAAGAGGTCAGTGGTTTATCTTGGGGATTTGAATATTAATACCGTACTCTCTGTGTGTGATTACCTAAAATTGTATGATCCTCTCCTTTATAAGATTTCTAGTGTACATGAACTTATGTGTAAAAATAACCCCTCTGTTGTCTTGGAAATTGTTTAGCATGTTTGGCAGATAGCAACCCTCTGTAGTATATGTCATCACTTTAATATTCTTAAAAATGTCATAAAGCAAGGCACAAGTCTCTTTTTGTAGTTATACAAGTTTTTTTTCTCAGTTTGACTATGTATAGTAATTTTATCCTGGATGAAAACAGTTCTAGCAATTAATGTAAAGGAGCATTATGAATGATTGGCCAAAATTGAGTAGGATTTATCTAATACAGGTACATGTGAAATAGTCCAAATTTGTGTACTGTGTCTACATGTGTATTTCATATACATGTATTCACTTCCAACTCGATTAAAATCAATAGAAACTTAGATACATACACTGTATATGCACACAGCTGGGTTTGAGGGTATATAACTCTGCACTCTGCTGTTCTAGGCGCTTACTGAGTTGGACTTTGCATATAGATGTCTTGAGAAAAGTCTGACCCAAATTTCTGACGAGGTATGCCCCAGAAATTATCATTAGGGGGAAAGAACTCTCACTTGGTAGAAATCTCATTGAACACCTTCCAGAGTAGCTTTTGTAGCACCCTGTATACTACAATCCATAAACCAGTGGGTTGCAGTTGCATGTTATGGCTTATATGGAATTTTACCAAAATTTTGATTACTTTTCTAACATGGGTTGGTGTTGCATAAATTTCTCATTTAATATAAATCTAGATAACAAATGTGTGTAAACATCATTAACAACTACATAATAACAGTGTACATGTATTACTTTACAGTTATATACATATATTTCACAATTTACTAAAACACATGTACTTGTATGTGTAGACTGAATCTTAACCATCAATATTAAGCAAGTTTTGATATGAATTTCAAATATTGAACACCTACATGTATTTGCTTATGTACAACTCTTGCATTATGTTGTTAATAAGAAAATGTATTGGATAGCTTTCAAATAGTCTTTGAAATATACATGTGTACAGATTAAAAAATTTACAGTGTATGCTTAAACTTTTGAGAGTTGATAATAAAAGCATGTTTAATTAATGATGAGGATTATTAAAGCTGAGCATGACAAAGCCTTGAATTATGAGATTTTATAAGTTTTCTCCCTTGGCTGCTTAGTCCTTTGCACCATCTTTTAAACAGCAAATATGTCTTTTATATGAAGTTTGGTCTAGTGGAAATTGTCGCTGAGAAATTAAGTGTTCATTTGAAGTTAATTCACCCAAATTTAAATGTTTTCAGATGAAAGCCAAAGTTTTATCCTTAGAGGATCAATTGAAAATTTCAGAAGATAAATGTACACAGCTTCAAGATGAAGTAAACGAGGTGAAGAGAGATAAATGTTGTATAGGATGAATGATTAATCTCAAGAAATCAGAATTTTAATGAAGAGAATTTTATACAACTTCAGTGAATGCATGTTTTATAAGAACTGTCAATTCCCTGTCTTGTTCACAACCAAACCTTTCAAATATTTAAATGCACAATATTTTCTTTGGATAAGGGTTTTGTAGAGTTTATTTTTTTCTTTATAATTGGCATGTTTTAGTTTTTTGGCATGGAAAGTATATATGGTAGAATTATAAAAATGACATTTTGTTTTTAAAAAAATCTACAATTATATATATGTGTGTTTTCATGTTGATTATTTATTGACAGGCTGAAACTCGAATCTCATCTCTACAGAGTTCAATACAGCAATCAAACACAGCTGACCTCTCTAAGGTGTGTATTCAGTGGAAGTTTGTTACAGTAAAACATGTTTATAGCGAACACACTTGTAATGAATTGACATTTATAGGCCAAAAAAAAATAATCAATAGTTTCTCATGCACCGCCGCATCAGTGATTTTTGTTCCCCACTCTCGCTCTGAGACTTTTTTAAATATATTTTTGTAAACTAGAGGTCATGTATAACAAAACCGCCTAACAAGATGGCGACTCCCATGAAAACACATGTGAGAATTTACTTTTTAAACAAAGATATGTGCGTTTTTTGTTCCTTGCAAAGCATACAGAGGTATTTTATTATAAAACCAGATAAAAGTAAAGGCGCAGACTCTGACTTTTTAAAGAATACAGATCTTAGCATCGAAGAGAATGTATCAGCCAATGAAAATCCATAGGATTTCCGGTTGCCTCACATTTGAAATTACAAAAATTAAACGGCATTACTCTCGCTCGGGCAAAACTGAGAGCAGAGACGGGTCCAGCAAGAACAGGATTGATCAATTTTATTGACATACAAAACTAAACTCGATTTTCTATTTCTCCAAGTTGAGAAAGAAAAGGTTATTCCCCTTTTCATAAATGCTAAGAAAGACGTTTTTATTAGAAAAACAATATACTTCTTCTAAATCTAAAGTATTTTATCAGTTAACTTTTAAATAAATGTTTTGAATATCATTATTTAACGTTGAATACATATTATAACTAATTTCAGAGAACAAAACTTAAGAATCAGTAGATATTATCATTTTACTGCACAAATGACTTACAAAAAAAAGAGAGGTAAAACCTGCTTCCAAAAAAAAAAAAAAAAAAAGCCTGCCTGCCGCATTGAATTTTGAATTTTTTGGCCTGAGAAACTATTTATTAATTTTTTTTGGCCATAGCGAAATGATTTTTAAATGAAGCAAAATCATCCATCCCTGGCACTGTGTTATAAGTATCTTATACTATATTCTTTAGAAGTTAGTGGTGGAAATGTATTTCAATGAAATATATATACATGTAAATTCCAAGATTAACTTACATGTAATTTAAATTTTTTTTTTCAGGAAATGCAGGACTTGAAGAGTCAGCTAGAAGCTGAGATGAAGAAGAGTAAGGACCTTGCCTCACAGGTTGTGAGATTAAACGGCATTATCAAAACTGGGCAGGACGCCATCCAGCAAGAACAGGAGCTAGTCACAAAACTAAAGCAACAGCTGGAGGAGAGGGAAAAGGTAAGCCCCGGGGAGTTATAAGGACAGAAGGGGCTTAGGGGAGGGGGTCCAAGCTAGTCACAAAACTAAAGCAACAACTGGAGGAGAGGGAAAAGGTAGGCTCAGGGTTATGAGACTATAAGACAGAAAGCCCATTGGGGGGGGGGGGTCCAAGCTAGTCACAAAACTAAAGCAACAACTGGAGGAGAGGGAAAAGGTAAGACCAGGAGGGATATAAGTCAATTAGGCTCTAAGGGTTATAAGACAGAAAGCACCATGGGGAGTAGGGGGGGGGGGGTGTCTAGCAGGGGCTAGTGACCAATGTCAGCAAAGTAGCAACTGGAAGAGAGGGAGAGGGTAGGTTTTGGGAATGTAGTGTATTTGAAAGGGAGGGGAGTAAGTTTAGTGAGTCATGATGAAGGGGAGCTACACAGGCTTACTAAAGATATGGGGAGTGGAGCATTTATGTAGCATGCAACTGTAACACTGTATGTTCAACTGCTGAATAGGTGGAGGAGAAAGGGAAATTCATGAAGTTTAAATATTATCAATGCATCATAGAAACTTGTAATGAGTATGAAACTTCCTTGATTTGTTTAATAGGAAAAATGGTGGATAAGAAATTTCGAAGGTTCCTTTTTAAAAGTCATCTAAAATTTTTATCATAAATGTATGACTGTCTACTCAAAACAAATGTAGTTCATATAACTGTGAATGCTGTTTGTTACTCTACAGATAATTTGATAGAACAATTAAAACATGTTTATGTTTTAAATTGTAATACATGTAATATGTAAACGTTTACTATACAATGCATTGTTGTGGTGTTTTTCAGAGCCCGGGGACCAACTCTAATTCAACAGTGTCAGAGGTTTGTACTTGTCAACAGAATGAAACATTTGCTCTGAAATAATAACTAGAAATCTGTTTTGATATAGTGTTACTAAACCTTAAGGTTAATTATTAACACCACTGATATGTAGAAAAAAAAATTCTATAGAAGTTTCTTCAATTTTTCTGAAAATCACTTTTTATCCCAGTACTTTTAATGACTACTTGTCATCATTGACTAACTTGACTGTTGTGTAATACTTAAAGCTGCTTATTGTGCATTGTTTCCCCCTACCTCAGTAATTCGACCCCCCACTATATGTAAATCAGGGGTGGTGGATGACAGATGATGATGCCTATAATTCTTCTTTTCCTTTGTTTTAATTCCACTTTTACACTTCCTCATAGCTAAAGGTCAAACTAGATGAAAAAGAAAAACAATTAGAAAAAGAAATCACCTTAAACAAACAGTTGTCCCAAAGACTGGTAAGTGGACATTTTTCTACCAAGGGTTCTCTATGTGTAGATTTACGTAATGAAAGCAAGAGAAGAAATATGCACTTTTGTTGAAAATGTGAGCGTCGTTACACTTGGTATTTATCTGCCGTTCGGTTAGCTATCAAAATACTCTGTGTGTTGCTAGATTTTGAGTTGAACTCTCAGAATTAATTAACATGTCACGTTTTATGTTCAGACACAAGATTCATCCTAGCTGCTGTCTCCAGGTGATTGTTGCTGTTTGTAACTTGTTGTCCACTGTATATTCATTGTATTTTTCTTCTCTTTTTAACTTTTTTTTCTTGCTTTATGGTTCACCTTACTAAAAATAAATTTGCCTGACTCTTAGTTTTTAACATTACTTTTTTGTATAGTTCTTTGCCATCTGATAACACAGCCTTTAAATGTTTTATAGTTCTCATCTGGCGTGACAGAAGAGTCAAGTTTAAAAACATCATAAAGATTTATTTTCTGTTTTCACTACATGCATTTAATATTGTGGGTCTTCTCTCTCTCAGATAGGACTGTCTTTACTTTCTGTAGAGATGTATCTATGTGTAATTAAGATTTCATACAGCCAAGGCCTTGTAATCATTATTACTGAGTGTGATTTGCATGAAGTTTTATCATGTTAGTCATGTCACTGTTTGCTTAAAAATTGACAGTGATACAATATAATCTGTTGTTGCATGACATCTGTGTATAGTTTAGTTTCAACATACATGTATTTACCATAAAAAATTCTGTTTTGAAAGTATATTAGTTCAAAGGAAGAAAGTTATTTCTCAAATGAAAAAAGCAAATAAGAGGATTTGAACTGCATATAAGATTAAATAAAAATTTGAAATGATCTGCTAAAACTGAGGTTTTTCTTTAAATAGCCAGTGAAGTTTTTGTTTATAATAATTGTTTTGTTCTTGTTATGTAACAGGGACAGTTAGGTATAATGGTAAGTTGTTTGTCAGAGACACGTACTATTCAGAATACTGGTGTTTGTCTTGAACTATTATCCCCCACCCCCTTAGTCAGTAGCACATTTCCCATTCCTTTCTTATTCACCTTTTGTGTAAAAAAATACAATAAAGCATTTTATTTTGCATGGATTATTAGAATATAAACTAATTATTATAGTTACACAATACATACCAGAACAGCCGCATCCAATATTTTATGCATGACCATATTTATCGCACCATTGATTTATTATGAATCCTTTGTAGAATTATTTTATGTATTATAAGAGATTGCATGTTTTTGGATCTGGATGGAATTGCTAATCCGAATGCACCATAAACTAAACATAGTGTCCTTTCTCTTTCCAACGTAAATGGCCTTCTTTGTGAAAAGTCTGGGAAAAAAGCAATATGTAAAACCTGCATAGCCAAAAATAATCTGTAAAGTTCATATAAATATTGTCCCTAAGGGTCACATGATACAGAAAGGTCAAAGGTATCAAGGGTGAATTAAAACTCCAATCTCTCAATGTAAGAATAAATACCGGTATATCCTATAGAAACTTGATGTTAAATAAATTGACTGCACAGTATAGTTGGCATAAATTTTGACATCGACTATACTTTATAAATATTAAGAACAATTGTCACTTTTTCACCAATCAAATATGGAACAAAATTTTACTACATGTATTGCCTTAGTGTGTCCTTCATAGACAAGAGAAATAAATGTAATACCCACATAAGTTGGTGTTGGTTCTTTTTAAAATGATTTTTCACAAAACCAGATTTTTGAGGGTTGCAGTAAGAGTTTTGTTCATGTGGTGCGATAAATTCATGGTCTGTTTCTTACACTACAAAAACGATGTTAAATTAAAAGGCACATAAAAAGCAAAACCATCTCAGTAAGAGTATAATACAGTGCAACACTTGTACACACGATGATTTAAAATTAAACCCCCACACATACCGGTATTTGAACCTATTATCCTTATTTTATGCAAGAAGATAAAATCTGCCATCCACCACCTCTCACCTTGACCTAATTATTGAATACTGATCCTAATGAAATTGAGGTCAATGCTATAAAGCTGTGTTTGTCTCGTTCTACAGTTCTTTGATGACTATAAAAGTTGAGGTAAATGGACAGAACACGTGAACTGTTAGTACTGGTTTGGAATGGAGTGCATGCTTTATCTCTGCATGAAATATTTAAAAATAAAGGCTTTATAATAGGCTTTGTAGACAGATTGTATGATGTGTGAAAAATTGGAAGCCTTTAAAGAAAAAAAAAACACTGCATGATTTTTATTTTACCTCTTCTTTTATTTTATATTGGTGTCAGTGTGAATGAAAAAGAAAAAAAATCAATTTTTCAGTATATTTTTATGATGAAATGATTTCATAAGCTGCATCATATAATTATATGTTCACTACTAAAGAAACGCTAAAATGCCATTGTAGGAAGATAATTATATATTTTGTCTTATTAATTACAGGCCAAATCTCCGAGTGATAGTGGAACTTCTGTGTGATCCTAACGCAAACCAGAGAGACGGAAGCAGCAGGGAAAACTACCAGACTCTTATTATTGTGTATATATATACAGATCATGTCCGTAATAAATCAGAAATAATTCAAGATTGAAGACAACTATTTCACCGTGTGAAGGAGAAAGTGTCGGGCTTTGGTTATGGGCACAGGCTAGTTTCATTTTCATTCAGTGCTACGTGTTATATCATTTCAGTGCAGCAGTCTCGGTTTTACACATCTTCTGTTTGTTTCACATTTAGGTTGTCTTTCACAATTTGAATTTTTTTTTTTGGTATTGCACATTTTGAGGTGCAGCATACCAGCTCTAAAAGTCTTGTGATAATCAAGTTATGATTGACTATAAGCATGTACTCGGCACTAGATAATCATTGTGTAGACTAGTGAGCTTATGTTACGGCGTATTTATTCCCCCATAGTGTGTCGCAAACTTATGTTGGCTTGTCTAGAATAGGTTGCCAGAGTTGATTACTATATTATGATATCAGACAATATTAATTCTATTTCATGTGAGTTGTTGAACCCATGACAAATATCAATGCAGTGATGTATTGTTTAGTCAAGATTAACCCAACACTGTTTGATGCTTTATAAAGAAAGTGTACATCCATATAGAGGCTTCATTGTAAAACATTTTTATCAAGAGGAATATAAATTTTTGTTGTTGATGAATTGATTTTATGTATATATATTGTTTAAATTCAATATTTAAGATAAAATATGACTTTAACCATCAAATGGTATGTGATTGATCATTATTACTATTTAATTATTTCTCTGTTGTTGGGCTAGTGGTGGTGTAGAAGTGAACGGTTGTTGTGTGTTGGAATCTTACCCCCAGCAGTAAGAAATTGACACTTTGTCTGTCTGTCTCTGGGTTTGTCTCCATATTTACCTCATGTACTTATCAATTGTCTGTAATCAAATATGTAGTCCCAAACCCAGTTCGAATAAAACCATCCCTCGGCAAAATGTTGGTGCTAGGATTTTTTTTAAAGTTATATTTTTGATTGATAATTCAAACACATTTTTTGTTAATATGCACCCACATGGTGTAAGAATTTCTCAAACAATTTCACGCCATTGTTTATATTTCATTAATTCTAGTGATTAGAGTACAATGTATTAATATCAAAGATATTTAGACAAGAATCGGGGACCAGGGTTTAGAATTTAGTCATTATAAAAATATCAAAAATAGTTCTTTTTACTATTAGGTATGTGTCCACATATGGAACAGTATTTTATTGTGTGAGAGGGTGAAAATGGAACATACCATTACAGACAATATGTATGATATGTTGGAATTAAATGTGATTTTTTGTTATATATATTTTATAAGGCATGTTGTTGCTTGCGAGTAGTTTGCCACAGGCTATAAAATATCAATATGTGTTAGCTACACACCTCGACATATTATGTGTATATCCATAGATCACAGACATTGAGCCTAGTCATATTTGTTTACTTAATAATTTCTGTTTTGTCACAACAAGATTTAAGAGTCACCAATTATAATAACAGTTCTTGGAAGACGTTCTGCACACATTTGTTGTGCCGATACTACTTGTTATGAGGAGAACGGATGATTTAGTTTTAAGGGTTTATTTGTTAATGATGAGTTGTGTCGGATTTGACTGTATTATGACACAGGGTATCGTCAAATGATGATGACGATATCTTACCAGCAATATGTACCCAATCTGTCAATAAATCTATATCCAGCTGAGTTCTTTTGTAATTTCTTACAGTGGCTCTTGAAGATTAATTCCTCTACAATGATCTTCAACATTGGGGTGGATTAAGGATCCAGAAAAATTGAAAGCTGAAGAGTAAAGTCACTGTGACCTTATTTCAGCATTCTATGAAGAAATTATTGTGCCTAAAATATGATTTACTTGAACTAAGTCCATGGGACATTGCTCTACCTAGGGTTCATTAGTAATATTAAATGAAATTCTTTGTTAGTGTATCTAGTTGGATGAAACTAGAACTGTCCAAACGGGACAAAATACCCCCCTCTGGGTTTTTCAGAGGAAAATTTTTCCATAATAAAGATATGCATCAAACATGAATCATACAATTTTTCTTTCAGTGACCTTGAATTTGCACAGATGACCTTGGGTCAAGGTCATGACACACCCTTGACACAGGTCATGGGCAATCTTTGTGTGAAATGAGAACCTACCAAGTTTATCCATAAGAAAGATATGGACCGGACACGAATTATGAAATTTTTCTTCCAGTGACCTTGAACTTCCCCAATGACCTTGGGTCAAGGTCATGACACACCCTTGGGTCATTGGCAATCTTTGTGTGGATTAGTAGATTCTAATGTTCTTCCTTAAGAAAGATATGGACCGGACATGTTTGCACAGACAGACGGACAGCTAGACAGAAGGACAAGGTGATTCCTATATACCCCCCCCCCCCAAACTTTGTTAGCGGGGGGTATAAATATCTTCAATAGGTTCTTTAGAACTGAGTTTTATTCAAAACAAATAGTGGAGTCAAAGGAAGGAAGTGAAAAAGAAATGGACACAGTTGATAAATTCTTCCTAAATTATGTATCAGTCCTTAATCTTGGAATGCATTAAATATCTTGAAATAAATTCTTTGAAACTTTCCTAAATGCAAATTTAAGAAAGGTGAGGTCAAGGTCAAAGAAGAGGACAAGGCTAGAAAAAAAAAGATGTGTTCATGAAACACTGATGCCTTTTTATGGCAGCTTATGGCAAGGGTTGGAATCTCTTGATTACAGAACAGAACATTTTATTTCTAATTTAGAGCCCATAACAGACAAGTATGAGATTTTTACAATAATAAGGAAAAGATAAGCCAATGAATAGCAATACAATTATACAATTACATGTCAAACTCCATGGGTCAAGGTCAAAGGTGGTGGCACTCAAAGAAAGGTCGTGTCGGAAGGAATCCACCTGTGAAATATGAAAGCCATGTAGCCCTACCCACTCATAGACTATTAGTTATGGGCTAGGTTAAAGTTGATAACAGATAGAAAACAGACAGACAGGACAAAAACAATATATCCCCCAGGATCTTTCGATCCAGGGGCATAAAAATGATGCTGTTGAGAAACACTATAGATAAATCAGCAAATCAAGTTTGATATAAATATCTTGATTTAATAAGTCAAACAAACAGTTTTATGAAGATGAAATCTCTTCCCAATTTGTATTGTCATGTTATGTTTGATTGATCTTGAATAGTTTCTTTGAAAATTTATTAACTTTATAACAAGTTGTACTTACCGTCCACCCTCCTCCATCTGTACTCATGTCACAGTAAACAAGCTTTTCTTCGAAGGCAATGAATACTGTTAAAGGAAAGAGAGGTCAAGATCAAGAGGAGTGAGGTCAAGGTCAGCAGGAAGGTCAAAATCATTTTCTCAGTTCTGATGATGCTCTGTAAACTGTAAACCAAGATCCAGTGTCGTAGTAGGAGTTGGTACAAAAAAAGAATTCTCACTGTTCAAAGGTTATATTAATGTTAAACAAACACATGTTGAACTCTCGCAGCTTCCCTAGACAAACCAAGTCCATCTATCAAAATTAATAATATATTCCATTGCAGATTTGAGGCGAAAAGGGGCTTGATAATGTTCAAAATACTCAATTTAATTGTTGAGTTCAATACCTGGGTTATTATTTTTTAATAAAAATACGCGTAACCATCGTCGGAACTGGGCGGGGGGGGGGGGCAGGAGAGGCCCCACTTTTTTTTTTGCCAAAATAGATGTAGATAAGTATAGGTTTTGAATATTGGAGCGTATAGGTTTAGCCCCCCCCCTCCCACTTTCCACAGTCAAGACTTTTCATTGGATACCAATTACCTTGACCTTTTGACCTTACCTTGGAGATTTTGGTACTTATTGAAAATACTTTAACATTTGCCTACTTTCAAATTCCTTAATTGTTTTCCAGTGAGAATACCCTACTTTTGGTACCAATTAATCAAATTTGCAATAAAGAAAAGTTAAATCTTTGCTATGTTGCCATACGGGGGCATCAGTGTTTCACAAACACATCTTGTTGTTCCTCTTTCACTTAGCGCACTTTAACAGGACCTGTTTAAATTTGCTTCCGACGCCATGCAATGTATATATGTATAATAAATTTTTAAAAAGTGGAAAGGCGTTCAGGAGTTCGAAGGGACTGTTCCCTCCACTTTTAGGTGGAAAGTGGAGAGACCTTTTAAGTTTAGTTGAAAGTGGAGAGAACCCCCTCCCCCCGCCTCCTTAATTCCACCTTATCCCAATTATTTTTATTATGCGAGTATCTCAATAAAACGACGGTAGTTGTGCTGCAAGTGTTAGTGATGAGGTTCTTAAAAATAATTTCAAATCATAGGAAAAAATTCCCGTCACTGTGCCAGAAATAAAACAGCCACCGTAGCAAATCAAATTCGTCACGTGACTGAAGCACAAGGTTTTGCGGGATCACAGATTGACAGAGGAACACGTGTTGGTGACAAGCGTCAAATGTCAACATTTTAAACTGACGTTGAATACACGAGGTAGGTGTTTTGTACGATCTTGAGATACATCATGAGTGGTTCCAAATATGTTAACATGGACGATAAAATTCTGTGACACACAGTGGGTTGCGGTTGTGGATGCTAAAAGGGGGTGGGGGGTTGCTCGCTCCCTGTTTTCCGATGTCTTTTTGCTTTATGTCTATGCTTCTTTCCATCTCGATCATTATACATTGAAATAAACGGGTAGATTTGTCAAAATATTGTACGTATAGGCCTGGAACAAGCATTTTCAGTAAATCTGAGGTACATGTAAACATAGTTTGGTGAAAATTGAGATCAGGAAAGGTCAAGTTAAAATACTGATAATGCTTTTGAATAGCACTCTTCAATATGTGTTAGACTTTAAAGTTTAGTAAAAATACCTTTTCAATGAATAATGCCTTTGAAATTGGCCTAAGTAATTCAATGCAAGGCATCACAGAAGGTAGACATGATAAATGCTATATATGCCGTAACCATTTTCATTCTTGGGCATAAAACTTATAAATTTTAATACATTTTTATAAAACTTCAGATATTAGCAGTATTTGTATTTTTCCTACTTCTAATTTTTAGGTGAGACTCTTAAAGCATGCAGCCCCTGAGAGATCAGATAGAGGAGATGAGAGGTAACCAGGAGAGCCTGGCTTTCTGGCAAAGACGTAGGAGGTTCCTCTCCGTACACTGGAACAAGTTCCCCCCGGAGGAGCTCAACAGTCTCTCCTACTGCTACAGTAGTGTCATGGTGTATAGCTGTCGCTACCCTCAGGCAATGATGAACCGCCTGTACGATCTGGCTATGGAGGTGGTCGATGACCTTCAGAAGGAGAAAGAGGGCAAGGTCATTCCTCAGGAAATCAAGACAAAATGGGATGAGGCCATTTCTGAGCCATTGACTTTTGAAAGGGTCATGCTGAACATCGAAGAGACAGAGAGGTCAAGGTTATTGGACGATGAGGAGGACAGTGAGGATTTTGTAGAGGAGGAACAGTCAGAGGAGGAAGAGAGGATGAGGAAAGACAGAGGAAAGGGAGGAATATCTGACAATGGAATGTACACAGAGACAAGCACAAGTCCTACCTTAGAAGTGGCAGCAGAGGAAGAAGATGCAGCCAATTACCCTTGCAATATGGAACAGCCTTCACCTAAAATTCCTAAACCGGTTCAAAATCCTCTAAGGTTACAGACAGAGAATCTAGCAAAGATTATGAATTTCTCCCCGAAACAAACCAGCAATGCAAGTGTTGAGTCACAATGGAAGTATAACACTCCTCTATTGAACAAACAAACAAATTTCAAAAATGACAATCAGCCAGAAAGAAAATTTTTTTCACCTAGAGACAATGGTTCCACTTTGAAGCCAAGCACAGCAACCACTCCCCGCCAGAATCCTTTGCAGCAGCAACAGAAATCTTCTCAAGCTGGTGAAAAACAGAGGCATGCTTTGGGTGATGCTTTATCAACAGCTTCAAAGTCCAATGCTCTTTTGACAACACCTGTACACAAGGCATCGATAACAGCTGGAAAATGGAAACAGGAATACAATACAACTAGTTCTAAAGATATGAGAAAAAAGACTGAACTATTGCAATGTGAAAGCCCCAGTCATCCATTGAGTAACAGAGCATTGGAAAAACATAGTGGAAGCAGTGCTCTTCAAGACCAAGCAACTGGATCAAAAAAAGCTAGCACCTGGAAACAGACCGAGATGACACCAGTAAAACTTGCAGGGAAATCCGAATGTGTCAAGAAGTCCCCCACAATCCAGGTGGATGAGGCAAAACCTGGAAATGTTGACACAAAGGCTAAAATGGTAACATTTCAAGAGCAAACCAAGAAGAACGAGCTATCAGGAAAGAGAGTAAATGCAGCTTATAAGTCTGTTTGGAAGGTGCATTCAAGCAATCCTGTTGTTCGAAAGGATCAAAAAGATGACCTGCCTAGGAGGAAAAGATCCAATGATACAAAGACAGATGAATTGCAGAAATCATACACCAAGAAAGGTTTGCATCCTCAGATGTCTGATGAAACTCTTAGTGGTAGGGAGGCTACCAAAAAGGGAAGAAATGACACCAGCTTCAAAGGACCCCAGAGGACATTATCTAACGTAGACATCAATCCTGTTGTTAGAAGTTCAAGGGTTTTTTCTGAGACTCGAGAAAATTCCACCAGAGGACCTCAGAGAAGAGGCGATACGGCATCCAGGGTGATATACTCCTCCAACTTCACCAAACCACCTCCGCTTCTGCCAGTCAGGAACAAAATGGATGAAAAATACAAAGGTCCGGTGAGCGGCAGACAAGCTCCAGGGAGTTATCCCAAGAGTTACCTCCCCCAGTCTCAGGAAAGTCTGAAAAATCCTAAAGCCACAGTCGTGACAGACCGAGGTGATAAACCCAAAAGAGCAGAAAATGCACTCAAGTCCACTCATGGGTCAACAGGCAGTCGGCCAAGTAATTCAATTTTCAAAAATTTCCTTCAAGGTCTTCTGCAGAAAGCCAAAAGAAGCAACTAATTATTGATTTTTTACACCAGTTTTTTTTTTTAATTTTAACAGTTTTATATGTATAAGACTACAAGTATTGCGTTTCTGTCAAGGGACAGCTTTAAATGCACATGAAAACAGGTGCACCTAAAAAATTTCATTAAATTCCTTTCTTTGTTTTAATTTGTTGTTGGAATTTGCTTAAATGACTAAAAAACATTATGGAGATATTTTATATTATTTTCATAAAACCAGTGTGCCATTGCTGTTGATATTGTTGATTGGCATTTTTTGAGATGTATAGGTTACTACCATCTTCATTTGATATACACGTACCAATTTTTTTTTTACATGTTTTACAATAGGGCAGAGACATGCACAATTTAATTACAAGTGTTATTTTTTGTTGACAGTTTTATGTCAGGTAGAATTTTATACTTAGTACCAAGATTATGGTAAAATTTCTTTGTTTTCTTTTAAGTCATGTTATTTTGATATTTAAAAAACTATAAATAAATTTGAAAAGAAATTGCAGCATTTTCCTTTGTTTTACATTATCATGAGTCTTCAGTTAATGCTTTCATTATTTACCCTTTTGGACCCTTTCAATTTTATCTGATGCTTTGTAATGGATATGTATATAAATATATTTCCAATATTTCACTCTTCAATGTTTAAAACACAGTCATGATGAGCATATTAACTAAAAAGACATGTTTCTTTTATTTCAGTGATTCCATCACTTTAATTATTTTGAATTTTATATCAATTTTCCAACACAGAAAACATTTTTATATGCTTGCATGACATTGAGGTTTTGATTAAAAGGATGAAAAAATTATTCAATAGCTGGTATTTATGAGACAAAGGGGTAAACATGGGATATTTAATATGTACAAATTGATCATTAATGAAAGATGAGAAAAGCATAAGTTATGTAAAATTACATTTATTAGACAAGTCTTGCTTTCTGCAAAATTTTGACAAATCTGCATCTTGATATGAACAATAATCACTTGAGAAATGCGTTTCACTTTCATGTCAATTTTGTCAACGACAGGTATGAATAACAATGTACATGTACTATAATTCCTGAATCACAAGATGAAGTAGAGCAGAAAAATGGTTCTGTTCTTTCTTTGTAACGATGAGTAATTCAGCCATGGAGTTGCAATCTATTCTGTCCATCGATGTACACACTGTGAATTGGTGCATACGTAGTACAGTCGCATCCCTTCCTACAATAGAGAAAAAGTATGTTGCTATACATTCAAAATCTTTAAACTAGAGGCCCCATGGGCTGCAATGCTTGCCTGAATCAGTATGACCAGATTTTATTCCCTACATGTTCCTATGTTAAACCTTGATTACACATTGCAGCCCCATCTCTATCCCAAGGGATTATGATTTGAACAAACTTGAATCCATATTACATGAGGAGGCTATCACATAACTATGACTAATTTGGACCTTGTTTTTAGCTCTACTGGTCAGAGACCAGAAGAGCTTATGCGATAGTAATGCGTCCGTCGTCCATCCGTCTGTCCGTCTGTAAACAATTTTTCAAAATGCTACTCCTCCTACAGTTTTGGTCTGATTTCAATATAACTTGGCACAAGTAGACTACACTAAGATACATAATTCTGTGTATCGGTTTTTGATTTCAATGAACGGTGTTGCTGTTGTTACTAAAAATAGAATTTTTTAATGAAAATCATTTAAAATGCTACTCCTCCTACAGTTTTGGTCAGATTTCAATATAACTTGGCACACAAGTAGACTATACTAAGATACATAATTCTGTATATCGGTTTTTGATTTCGATGAAGGGTGTTGCCGTTGTTACTAAAAATAGAAAAAAATTTGAAAATCATTCAAAATGCTTCTCCTCCTACAGTTTTAATCTGATTTCAATATAACTTGGCACACAAGTAGACTACACAAAGATACATAATTCTATATATCGAGTTTTGATTTCGATGAAGGGTGTTGCGGTTGGTACTAAAAATAGAAAAAATTGTGAAAATCATTCAAAATGCTACTCCTCCTACAGTTTAAATCTGATTTCAGTATAACTTGGCACACAAGTAGACTACACAAAGATACATAATTCTGTAAAGCGGTTTTTGATTTCGATGAACGGTGCTGTCATTGTTACTAAAAATAGAAATTATAAAAAAAAAAATACTTTCAAAATGCTACTCCTCCTACAGTTTTGGTCTGATTTTATTATAACTTGGCACACAAGTAGACTACACTAAGATACATAATTCTGTATATTGGTTTTTGATTTCAAAGAAAAGTTTTGCCGTTGTTACTAAAAATAGAAAATTCTTTGAAAAACATTTAGAATGCTACTCCTCCTACAGTTTAAATCTGATTTCAATATAACTTGGCACACAAGTAGACTACACTAAGATACATAATTCTGTATATAGGTTTTTGTTTCAATTAACGGTGTTGCTGTTGTTACTTAAAAAAGAAATTTCTTTGAAATAAATTTAAAATGCTACTCCTCCTTCAGTTTTGGTCTGATTTCAATATAACTTGGCACACAAATAGACTACACTAAGATACATAATTCTGTATATCGGTTTTTGTCATTATTCTATTTATTGCTTTTGTAAAATTTTATATCCCAACTGTTACTTTTCTCTTTCTTTATTATAAGTACAAACCAGTAGAGCTTCAGTCTCGACAGAGACTTCTGGTTTTTTTTTGATTTCTTAAGGTATTTTTCTATGTAAAATGTAAATGCCCATTGTGACCCACTCTACCTCCTAGGGTCATGATTTGAACAATTTGAATCTACATCATCTATATGAAGAAGACTTGACTTTGCTACTTCTTACAATTTGAATTTTTGTAAATATTCATGTGAAAGCTATGTTGTCCATTGAGGCACTACCCTTCTAAAAAAGTTCTAAACGTCATGGTTTTAATAATTTTGAATCTACACTATCTGTAGATGCATCCCTATAATATGAATAATGGATTTACTGTTCTAGAAAAGCAGATTTAAAGGATTTTCATTATGTATTCCTTTGTAAAGGATCATTCTCTATAAGGCCGTTTTGCGGCCTACAATGACATCAAATTTTCAGATAGTATTTTTTCCGTTAAAAATTGCATGAATCACTAGGCTTACGTTCCAATTTAATGATAAATATCGTTTGGTTAATGATACAATAGTATTTTTAATGATATAGGGTCACAAAGTAAGGTACTGTCGGTCCGTATTAGCATTAGAGTAATGGGAAAACTCAAGAGGGTGGCTGTGTTAGATAACTCACTTTACGCATATCATAACCATCTTTAACTAACACCAAAATTTGCATGTAAATTTCTTATAAACATAAAAAGTGACTACCAAATTATGAATTTGGTTAAAGGTGGTTATGACATTCAAATACTTTTCCCTTCATTTTTACGATATTTGCAAAAAAAGCTAACTAATCATAATGAAAGATATAAGCTTATGTAGATTATTTCTTTTTATGAACTTTGGGTTAGAGTACAATTCTTTGTTGATTTACTAAGATTTATATCAGGTATGCATATTTACTATAAATAAATGTGAATTTTTTACTTAAAAAAATTAAAATCAAAGGACCGAGAGGACTGGATGTCATGAAATTACAAGTGGAGACGTTGCATTGAAATGTCTGATAAAATTAAGAAATAAAAACTTTTATAGACTGTAAGGTGTGAATATGAGTTATCTTTTATATTTCTAATGATAGTTTAGTTTATCTTTATATGCTACTTCTTTGAATTCCGTTATGAGTATTGCATATATTCTTTGTATTTCCTTATGAGTACTGTATATCTTCTAGAAATGATAAAAGCCATCTTTGTTGAAGCGGTAAAATGCATTTCCTATTTGTGTTATAGACTTTTTTCCTATGGGTACACACATAATTTTTATATGGACACTTCCGTACGAGTAACATGTGATCCATATTTTGTTAACTGCATGGGTTTATCGAGAGGACTCAATATATTCATCACACTTGTTTGATAGCATCGATATAAGTTACGAGAACAGTAGTCCTGTCTAAAAAAATAAAATGGTAAAGAGGAGAGGGATTCCTATATGTAATATGTAATTTATAATTGAATGTTGCTTTACCCCATTTGAGGATTTTTCAACCAGAAAAAGAGATCATCCACTTAAGGTCAAGTGTTTATGCACATTTGCATTACTGACCAACGCCTAACGCGGGACGGGACCTTTTTTAAAAAGATAATATCCTAAAGACCCATGATATTCACTTTAAATGCTAAACACTTAGGTAGGGAACTGTCACTATCTGTGTAAAACAAGTTTTTGACGCTGCACTAGGAAGGAGACTGAATTTAACCCAAGAGTTTCAAGAGTGCGAATGGAGCATCAAACCCTTAGGATCCATTTTGTACCTGGGATGTTGTAGAATCTTAAGTCCGTATACTAGTATATACGAAAACTTCTGATATGCATAGTTGAAAGAACTGTTAAAATTCTACTCCGTTTTATGTTGTGCCGTTAGAAACGGTGGGGGGTGGGGGGGGGGTCTAAACTTTTATTTATGTAAATACATCAAGTTTAGATGGCATTTTTAATTAAATATATCGTGCAACACGAGTAATTGAATAAAAGCAAAGCTGTTTTACTACGATATTTCATTTCACTTAGAGATGTATATTTTAATGCAACCGCTCTGAGTTACATGTATATGTATTGACTATTTACATGCATATGGATAGTCAACATGTACTTGCACTGATGTATTTTATGCTGTTAATTCTTTATTGTTTTGCAATTGTTGAATTTCTTTTCTTAATTACTATTTCAGTTTTATTTAATCACAATCAAAATCCATTCAGTGCTTTCAACATTTGATACATAACTTTCATAGGTCAACAGAAACTCAGAAACCTTATTTCTAAAATGGTTATTTTATGCGTAAAATAAGTAACACATCTATAGAAATGATATACAATTATAATATAATTATATATGATATATTACTATTAATAAAATACTAATAAAACTTTTTTCAGCATCATACAGTGTGAATTTCGTAAAGATTTACGTTCAAAATATGCAAAATGTGGATGTATCGGAATTCTTGTCATAAAAAATATCTTGAACCTTAAATTTATAAAATCTTCCAATTCATTACTTATGTCTGATGTATTTCCGACATAAATAAACAAATTTTGATCATTTACATTCAAAAATATGCAAAGAAACTTGATTTGAATAGACCCACCCTCAATTTTTCTTTAACTGACGGCCATTTTTTATTTCTAAATCACGTGACTTAGATGATCGATGTTGATAAACAAACATCAAAATCATAAACTAGAATGAATATAGTTATATAAAATCACACTTTAAAGTGATTTTATCGTAGGCCGGAAAATGGCCTTATAGAGAATGAACCTTTGTTTGCTCATTGAGGTCCCAACAATCTCTAAATGAAAATTAATAGTGAAAAGTTAATAATTAATGACAACAGACCAAAAGATCTAGTTTCACTTAAATATGTACTGAGCAGTTTTGATTTATCATACAATGACAGGGTCCAAAAAGGTCTATGTGAACCTTGCTCTTTTGATCAGAAAAGCTTGCTTGAGCCTTTGGCTCAAGAGAGCTTAAAAGTAGCAAACAATTGTTTTCATTTAAATACCTCAGCTTTGGTACTGTGGGATTGGAAAAAGACTGACTCTTTGTGGGCACATTTTGGACAAGGGTGGTCTTCTGTCCGAGGTAAGGTGGGGTCTGCTATCACATCTCCTATAATCTGGGTCAACTCACTGAAACAGAAAATGTCAAAGAATTTAGTATCTGCATAAAACAACATAAAAAATATTAAATACAAGTTCTTATCTAGCTGGTAAGGTAAGATATATCTCATGAAGGTCAGGGTTAAACCAAATTTGGTTACTTAGTGTAATGCTCTAGTTGGAGGTAAAAACTTGAATAGAAGAAAATAAGAAAAAATCAGTGTCTTAAGTGACATATCTTTATAGGATATATAATTCTTTATTCAATAACTTTAAGCCATACGGCTCATCAGTTTATGATGGAACATTTAAATTATTAGCATATTTTTTAAGTTTATTTTTTGAAGAGTTTAACAGTTAACAGTATTTTTATTTACACTACCTAGAGAAACTAATGTACTTACTCAACTTCATGGGTGATTTTGTTGACATATATACATGGATTCGTAGCTTCTTCTTGGTAGTCACAATTTCTACACTGAAATCAAGGAGATACTCATTTTATTTATCATTGATAAATTTAGGCTGTGTGGAGTTGTTCATTATGTGTACACAGTCTACATTGAAATGTTTATCTGTCCAGTAAGAATGTCCCAACAAGGGAGTATATCCCCTTTCATGCATTTGTTACTAAACTATCAATCAGATTACAGGGGACCTGCTCTGAGAATGTAAATATTTTTTTATTAATTTTTTAAGAAACATGCCATCTACCTGTAACTAGTCTACATCTTTAAAACTTAAAGATTCTTTATAATGTTTATGATTCTTGCAAACTTCAATTCCTACTTACAGCATACAACAATATTCTGTTTTCTTTGTCTTCCTTTGGGTACAGCATATTGTTACTGAAAGATTAAAAACTGATAATGATAAACATGCATGAAAGTTGACGAAACACCTTATATTTATTTTTAAAAAGCAGTAAACTTTCATACCATTCTTTACAAAACTTAATTCCAACAAAACCTGGCCCATCGTCATGAGTTTCGTATAGATCCATGTTTTATTTTTCTGGTGTCCGTTTACGCATCGAAAAAATTACTGCCGCTTGTGCAATTGATCAATATCATTAGCTAAGTCGTACAAGGAAATATTCGTTCTGTTATTCTTTTTTTGTTTTTTATCCATAAGATAGTTTTTCCTAGGGGCCAGATAATACAGATACCCCATATTCTAAATTATATAAATGATAAAAGAATTTCAATTATTATTAATAAAATATAAGAGAAGTTATTCTTTTTTCCATGGTTTAAGCGGCTCAAAACTTGAACTGGTGACTCAACCTCCTGAACAAATACCGGTACTGGAATTTGGTCTTAAATTGCGTCTTTAAACACATTTGTTGAAGAAAGTGGAAATAACTGTTAGGTGCATAATAGATAACTATTGCTGAAAATGGCGACGGAGCGATATGACATCGTAGTTTTTGGAGCCAGTGGGTTCACTGGTCAGTTCGTTGTGGAGGAGGTAGCAAAGGTAGCCCCTGGGCAGAACCTGACGTGGGCGGTGTCCGGGCGATCCATGGAGAAGATACAAAAGGTCCTCGACAAGGCCTCCAAAAGGACAGGTGATGCATTTTGTTCTCTTTACCTTTAACACAGAACGTCATCCCTCTCAAACTTGATTTAGTTTGATCTAAATACGGCAGCCAACTTTTCCAAACATAACTGTTACATGCATTTAAAATAAGATTTCTGCATGAAGGTGCAGGTGCCCTACAATAATCTTGAATTCATGTGTCTATTCGTCTATCGTTCAACCCTTTAATGGGATGCAGTAACCAATTTATCATAAGTTTAGTTAGCTACTTAAATTGTCTGGAGTGTGGTTGTTGGAAGCCTGCAGAGATTTTTTGGTCTCTCGGTCAAAGGTCAAGGTTAAAGCACAAATTTACAAATATGACTGTAGAGGGAGAGGAGCAAAATATAGCGGACCAGTCTGGGATTTGAACCCAGGCCCATTGAAACTCCAGTCAGGTGCTCTACAAAATGAGCTGAGAGTCCATCGATGATCTAACCCATTCCTCCCTCTTTAAATGTTTTCGGTCCCTGAAGGCATGAACCCAGGCTCTTCCATGGAAGGTCTTTTATGTCACTTCCAGGGCATGGCATAGCACCAAATGTAACAGGAGAGGAGAAAAATGCAGCTGACCAGACCGGGATTCGAAACCAGGCCCCCTGAATCTCCGGTCAGGAATTCTACCAACTTTCAATCAAACTCCTCTGTCTGTGACAATGACTATTATAATGCACACTTTATAATCTATAATGTATTATAGAATAGAATAGAATAGATTTATTCCAGATCAGGGCCCTTGTGGGCATATTACATACATGATTATTAAACAGAGCATATAATAGTTATTAATAAGATGTGATGTGTTCTTAGTACATGTATATACTTAATAATTTACACATGGTTCATAAGTTGAAATAATTGCTAACATGTGAACTTTAAATACATATTGTAATTAAAAATATATAAAGAAGTACCACCGTGTACCATAATGCAAAAAAGCCAGAGAGATACATACAGAGAAATGAAAAATATATATATATATATATATATTTTTTTTATACATACCAACACATACATACATACACGTATATATACATGTCCACACACATACATACTGAGTAGCTATATTCCACTAAATTGCAAAAGATACCACGGGACAGTGCATTGGTACTTTATAATTCACCATGTTTTGTTTGCATATCTTATGAACAAGTAATATTTATTAAGTGTTTAAAGTATACAAATTTTTTTTTTAATTTCTTAATACATGTAGAAGACACACTTTATTGCACCCTTGATCAATTCACAAGAACTTCACTATAGATTCTTTTTTTTTTTTTTTTTTTTTTTTTTTAGTACATACAGTGTTTACATGCACCTATTATTATTATAAAGAGAAATACCACATTATATGCATCAGTATTTTATATGGCTTGTCTAACCAGTTCACAAATAGCTGAAAGTACTTCAATATTTTCACAATTTAGAACCCACAACAACTTATTTTCATTATTTAAATGAGAAAAATTGATACAGTGTCTTTGTATAACATTAATCATATTCTCTCGTTCTGTAACAAAACTCAAACATTCAAAAAGTGTGTGTTTTTCATCTTCAATAACATTCATTGAGCATTTAGTACAAAGTCTCTGATCTCTAGGAATGCCAAAGTACCGGCCTCTTTCAATTTGTAAATTGTGAGAAGATGTACGCAACCTACATATTAATTTTCTTTGTTCAAATGGCAGGCATAGTAAGTATTTTTCAAGTCCAAAATTTGTTTTAATCTTAACATAAGTATCCAGTTTACCTTCTTGTAACAATCTAATCAAGTTCCACTCATTCATGTAGTATGAAATTAAATGTTTTTTGCATTTTATCTTGAAAGTTTGCAATTTGTTAGACAAAATATCCTTATTAAGGTTTATCATTTCTGCAATTTTACTATATGTTCCATACCAAGATGGTATACTGTTACTCCAATTAATCTTACTTTGAGAATATGCTGCTCTCAATAATGGGAATGACATATCTGGACATTCTAATCTATGGACATAATTCAAAATACTTTTTATAATATCAAAATGAAGGGGGAGCCTACCAAGCTCAGATAATGAGGAGAAGTTTGCACTTTTCCTATGCAGTCCCAATATATTCTTACAAAATTTTAAGTGTAGATTCTCGCACTTCAACTTACTAAAAATATCATATACAGAGAGTTTGGAGGTTTTACGAAAAATACTTGGTCGATTAATGTTCCCCCATATTTCACATCCATAAAGCAAGATGGGTTTTATTGTATGATCAAATACATGTAGGGATGTTTTAACACTTGGCTTCAAAGACAAAAATTCTTTTTGCAGTTTATAAAATGCCTTTAGAGCTTTTTTATACAGGTCTTCCTGAGCATATGAGAAGGTTCCAGAGGCACTAAAGAGTACCCCTAGATATCTATAAGAAGACACAGATTCCAAAACCTGGTCAAACAGCTTAAATTCATTTTTTATCAAACGACCCGCTTTATTAAATATCAGAATTTTGGTTTTTGTTACATTCACTTCCAGACACCAATCATTACAAAATGACTGTAATTTATGCAATTTAGATTGAAGACCTACTGCTGTCTGAGATAACAATATCACATCATCAGCATACATAAGACAGTTAATTACCTTATCATTAAGTAAGATGGGATTAGGGGTGAAAATACTCAGGTAAATCATTGATAAAAATTTTAAATAAGGTTGGGCTTAGATTATCTCCCTGCTTTACCCCTAGTTTGATGTCAAAGAATTCTGTGTGAGAATTTTTCATTTTAATACAAGATTTGCTTTGACTGTACATACTTTTGATTATATTATAAAACTTCGTTCCAATAAATAATCTTAGAAGTTTGTATTTTAAGCCAGAATGTATTACAGTATCAAAAGCTTTACGAAAGTCAACAAAACATGCATATACTCTTCCATCTTTGGTATGACAATAAGTCTCTATTATATTTCTTAATATAAACATATGATCTGAAGTTCTTGCTGATCTAGTAAACCCTAGTTGACAGTCACTTATCATGTTGTGTTTAGAAAGAAATTTATCCAATCTTAAATTCAGAATACCGGTACTATTGAAGAGTTTCCCCATTGTATTTGTAATAGTAATTCCACGATAGTTGTTTGGGTCATTTATGCTACCAGATTTATGAAGAACTGTTAGAAGTCCATCAGTCCACTGACTGGGGTATTTTCCATTAACTAAGCAACCATTAAACAATTTCTTCAGACTTGCCAATAATGAATTTTGCCCATATTTTAACATATGATTTGAAACTCTGTCAAGACCAGGTGATTTGTTACATTTAAGTCCACTGATTGCTTTTGATATTTCAGATTTTCATATAGATATGACGTTGAAGTACTTTGAAAAAAATCTCCTTGAGTAAAAGTCAAGATATTTGATTTAGTGTATAAAGGGTTATTTTCGCCCCGTGTTATTTTCGCCCTTTTACACTTGCTTACAAATTTGTCCCGTTTAAAATTCGCACAGTCCCAGTTTTGTTTGAGAATTTATACTGTGTTCTTTGAATTTTAAATTCGCCCACTTGTGACAAGGGCGAAAGGGGCGAAAATAAAACGGGGGCGAAAATTTCCCTGTATACAGTACTTATTTCTCACCAAATTTGATTTTTTTTAACTGTATAAACTAAAAGGTACATTTACACAACAGAGGCAAACACTACCGTATATACTCGCCTATAATTTGATTAAAACTCTTTGTATATAACTATTAAAAGTATGGTTTTATATGCGGTACATGATATACAAGCTTATTAAATACAACCGACTTATAGGCGGACCGACTTATAGGCGAGTATATACGGTATATCTGCTATATCTGACATGTATTTTTAGTGTATATTATACTATATATAGGTGATCACTTCAATAATGCAGATTTTGACGATTTCATTTCCTTAAAATTTTTAATTTAATTTTTTTGAGACCATTTGCTTAAAAAGGTCAAGGTCTCAAGGTCAAAATCATTGATATAAGAATTACTATAGAGTTCTTAATGACCTTCTTAATTATCTGGAGCTTTTCAATTGATCAAGAGATCTAATGCAACATCACTGTGTCATGTCATTATAAGCATGATGACGGAGATTTTAAAGTAAACTAGAAGTGCTCCATTGCTCCCAAAATTGGCAGGAATTCAAATCTCATTCTGTGAATAATGTCTGTCTTGCTGAACCATGCCCCAGCTGAAGATATAAGTATCATGAATCACAAGCTAGATACACATCAACCTGATCAAGATGAAAGGGAACACATGCATGAAACATTTAACAAACTTGTAAAACATCCCTATTTCAGTGTACCTGGGTTAATGCAAGAGCAGACTGACTTTCTCTGAGAAACTAATAAAATATTATAATTTAAATTTATATGTTGTGTATATATACCAGTTCTATTTAAATATGACTTTAATTTAACAAATCACTTTCAAATCATGTTTTGATTTTTAATTAGGAAAAAAATTTAATTATTATATTCATTTAGTTTTTCCATAATTTGATTTAATGAAATGTCGGGTAATAAATTAAATATTTATAAATATATAAATAATATATAATTAATCATGTTATTATAAATATATATAATTAATCATGTTAATATTTATAAATTGTATACAAATTGTACATTGTCAAATACTGTAACAACTGTTTTATTCTGTATAATTATAACTAGTTCAACATTTTTTAGGAGTTGAGTTAGAGTCTACCCCTATCATAATAGCTGACACATCAAATGAGGAATCTCTTCTACAGATGGCTAAGCAGGCCAGACTGGTCCTGAACTGTGTTGGCCCAGTAAGTATAGAAATTACATGTACCGGTATTTAATGGTTATTATTGATAGAAGATTATGTCAGAAAGCAGCCCAAGATAAAGCTAATTCTACAAAGGAAAAAATATTTTTGCATATACAAAAAATTTTTGTTCTTGAATTTTATGAATTGAGAATTTTTCGTTTTATTTGTAAACTAGAAAAAGTGGCTTTTTAATACTTGCATGAAATTAACCTCAGTCAGCAACAGTGGAAAATGTTCAATTTTTCAAAAAATTTTGAGCCCTCAGGCAAAGAAATATGGGTTTAATCTAGATGTTGTAATGGATTAGTGCAAGATGAACAAAGAAGTTGTTTTTCCCTACTTTGTAAAAATAGAATGGGATTGGTTATTGATTTATACATAACATCAAGATTTATTGTCATTGTTATATGGAAGAAAATTAAATTGGGATATGAGTGTTGCACACTTTCTGATTGTCTTGGATTGTTCATATTTAGCTCACCTTAACAAAGTTGGAGAGAGTTTATTCTTGTGGGTAATCATGGATCATTATTAGTTATGGTCCAGATTCACATAAATACACAAATAACCAAAGAGAGTTTCCAGGTTCATGTAGCACAGTAATAAATACTTCATTCACTGGATTTCACTTGACACTCTAGCTGGTACATATTGGTTGACATTTGTGGGGCCTCAACCTCAAGTTGATTTAGACTATGTTTCTAATGAGGAAAGTTTATGAAATTGCAGAAATTAGAGGATTTAAAGTCTAACTGCTAATTTCCAATATTTTTGGAACCCCACTGCATAGTTTATCATAATCAGCAAGAAAAAAAAGGAAAAATCATTCAACTATGTGAAGAAATACCCAAGAAGAAATGGGGCCTCAATATCTCCATAAAGGATAGAATACGATTAAGAGAGTTTCCTTGGAGGATAACAGAATATTATACAAATTTAGCTAAAAACAAATACATGTTTATAGTAAATATGAAACTTATGTTATACCCCTGGGGTCAGTGTCGGTGAGAGGTTTAAGTTTTGAAGGATTTTTTCTCAAGCACTTCTATGCCATGTGTTGATCAAAGATAATGGATGATGATTGTAGGTGTTTATAGAATGTTTCTTTGTACCTAGTTAAGTTTCAGATTCTGCATTTTCAACAAAAGAATTACTTTTCTGATACTTCTGGAAGAAGTTAAAGTTTTTGAAGCAGTCTCAATTCCAAATCATGCAAGTGTCCACTTGTCCATTTTGAACTATACGTCTTTTTTTTTTTTTATAGTATCGTTTTTATGGAGAACAAGTGGTTAAAGCCTGTGTGGAGGGTGGAGCACATCACCTGGACATAAGTGGTGAACCTGCAGTAAGTAAAGTATTGGTAAAATGAAACAAGCATCTGTAGTAAGTAAAATATTGGTAAAATGAAACTAGCACCTGTAGTAATTTAATTGGTAAAATGAAACTAGCACCTGTAGTAAGTAAAATATTGGTAAAATGAAACTAGCACCTATAGAAAGTAAAGTATTGGTAAGGTGAAACAAGCACCTGTAGTAAGTAAAATATTGGTAAAATGAAACAAGCACCTGTAGTAAGTAAAGTATTGATAAAGTGAAACAAGCATCTTCAGTATGGAAAGTATTGGTAAAATGAAACTAGCACCTGTAGTAAGTAAAGTAAAGTAAAATGAAACAAGCAACTCTCAGACCTTGCTGCAAGTTATTATATTCAGTCATCTATGTTTTTATATGGTGTTGCAATGGTTACTAATGTGAAATTCCTTTAAAACGCAACTCCTTCTACAGTTTTGGTTTTTTTTTTTGCTAATTTACATAAAGTACATAGAAAAGATGCAGTTGAAGTATAATGGAGAAGCACAGAAGAGTGGTGTTTTTGTCATCAGTGCTTGTGGTTTTGATAGCATCCCTGCTGTTATTATAATCATAGATGGTTTTGTTTTTTGGCATTCAGAAGAGTGGTGTGTTTGTTTGCCTGAAAGGAAAAAATTTGAAGGTTTGAATCTCTAATAGATTATTAGTAAATTAGCATTCAGATTTTGAAATACATTTTGAAGTATGTAGTACATGTACCTGTTTGTATTAGAGAATTCAATTCAGTTAAAATTTTCAACACTGAATATTAAAAACATGTAACTGTACATATTACCAAATCAAATAGTACATCATTTACTTGTGTAGTTTCAAATAATTTATTGAATTGTTTGCATGTTTTGTACATTCAGGTCAAATTTAATATGTCAACCATTTTGTTAAGGTCAAATCAATGCCGTAGAGAGTTACCTAGAGATACATTCTGGTCCTCATGGGATGGCAGTGAACAATGGAACCCTGGAGTCGGCCATTTATGGATTTCTTCATGAAGGAGAACTGAAGTCAATCAGAAAGTCCTTGTTTCCAGAACCACTTCCTCCTGCCAAATATAAACTCCCTAAACGGTAGGCGATACTCTACTCTTCTGTGTACAAACTCCCGAAATGGTAGGCAATTCTCTACTCTTCTGTTTACAAACTCCCTAAACGGTATGACTCGTGACTCCTATTCAATGTGCAAACTCCCTAAATGGCATGAGTGACTTATTTCTTTTATGTTTTCCAAAACAGTACAAATTTCTCTGCTCTACTCTTACATGTATAAACTCTCTAACATAAACACATTCCCTGTACTTCTTATACAACATGTGATATACTATCTTAAATGGAAAACCTCTATCACCATGAGGGGTGCTCAAATGCAATAAATAAAATCTGCATGAAGATATATTTGTTAAGGATCAGAGATAAACATGTTTAGAAAAAAAACTTGTTATAGAGAGTAAGTACTTCAGTATTTAGAACTGAATTAATCTGTAGATTTTTATATGTGAATTTATATTTTTCTGATTTAGAGGGATGTTATTCACGAATGACATTAACAAGAAATGGACCGCCCCCTTCCTAGGGAGTGACAAGTCTGTAGTTTATAGATCACAACGGTTTAACTTTGCTGAGAGGAAAGAAAAACCTGTAAGACACTATAAATGACAGTTCTTCTGCGATTCAGAAACATAAAAAAAAAATATACCATATTTAGAGCAACTCTCATATTGATAATTACTCTAGACTATAGTGGTTTGCATTTATCAATACATGTGGATACATTGCTATATATATATATGGAAGTTTTAAAACATGTTGTACAATATCAGACATACTAACAGTTCAATTTGAATCAATTATAGTGACATTTTTTTTTGCCTTTGCAGATTCAATACCAGCCCTATATCTGCTACAACAGTCTGTTTACCGTGTTTGGATTGTTATGGTTTGGACTCTTGTTTTTTGTCATGAGTAAATTTAGTTTTACCAGGAAACTCTTCCTACGAGTAAGTAAGAAAATGCTTCAGAAAATCCTTTATACTTTTCATACTGCTTTCCCAGCATTAAGAAAACGTTTTTTATGTTAATAAGAATATTTGGATCATGATGAGCTCATTTTTAAAAATATTTAGTTAGACATGATACTGTATTTACATTGTGATGTATACATCACAATGCAACATAATGAAGTCGGGATTTGTTATGATGTCTAGTTAAGAAGATGGACTATTACTGTATACACATTACATTTAGCGGTGTATTCTATTTAGCGATTTTGGCGGTAAGCAGAGTCCGCTAATTCAAGTACATCGCTAAATGTCTTGTATACTAACTTTTATAACTAGCAAATTCAGAGAGCGCTAAATCAAATCTACGCTAACTTGTTGAAAATTGAATTTCCGCCAAATATCGTACACGCCAAATATTAATTGTAATACATTTACAGTATGCAATCTTTGTATGCATAAAATAATAGTTACTGGGGGAGGGCAGGGCCAGAAGTTGGCAAATAATAAGAAATGTAGGAGAGATATTATGCCAATTTTTTTTCAGAGAGAAAGTTTCCTGTGGCTTTAATTTACTTATACCAATACTTTAGTGGGTAGGTTTTCTCTGAAATATGTGTGCACTAAATTGTCTGTTTTACAGTATTTTTGTTTTTGTTTTTCAGTATTCTTCATTTTTTACTGGTGGATTATTTAAACCTGAAGGACCTTCCTTGAAGCAGGTTAGAATTCTTTCAATATTCTGATGTTATGTTGTTTGCAACTGACTACACTAGCTGCAGAAATGTAAATCATTTGCCTTACCCTCCATAATTCTAGACACATTTTGTAATAAATCTCTATATTTTATACACCTCCCAACCCTTTCTAATCGTCTTTACAAGCAAAAATTAGCTTGAATTAGAATTTTCTGCAATCCCCCAGACAATTCAAATCAAGCTAGTTTATCGCCTGTAGAGGCGACAATAAAAGGTTGAGAGGAGGATAAAATATACAGATTGGTTTAAGAATGTGTCTGAAATTAGGAGGTGAAAGGTAGATGGTTTACCAAAGTTGAAAAGTTGAGAAATTCTCTCAGTGCACAAAAAAATTGCACCATAAATTGCACATTTTTTGCATCATTGGGTCTGTAGCGTCAAAGACTAATATATAAAACCGTAATGCTGCAGTTCACTACACATGAGATATGCATTGTTAATTATAATATTTTCTCACTAGTATAAAAATTTGAATCCTCCTTGTCAATGAAGTGAAAAGAATTGAAATGTGAACATATATTTTTAGGCCTTTCAAAATCTGGCATCAGTACTCCTACCTGACTGAAATCATGATTGTACAACCTAAAATATTTGATTGGAAATTTTGATGACATACATGTACATGTATTTTATAAGAATCCCTTAAAACAAGAAGTTCCATTTTTGTCAACAGATTGAGACCTGTAGTTTCTCCATGACATTCGTCTCCAAAGGCTGGAAGAACAAGACAGACGAAGATCCACAGTCGCCGCCCGACACGGTGAAAATCACCAAGGTTACAGGTCCAGGTGAGTGGTGCAACAGCATAATTACATAGTGTCATGTTTATGTTGAACTCTCATTGTATATTCTTAAGGCATTAGGGAACCATAATCCTAGCTGCAATTTTCTAAAAATCAAAACATGTTATCAAGATATATTTTACAGAGGTTGGGTATGTGACAACTCCTATCTGTATGGTACAAGCTGCTGTCGTAGTGTTGAAGGAGACAGATAAACTCCCAGGAAAGTAAGTGACCATTGGTTGTATGGTTCTGATTTAAAAAAGCATATGTTGAATATCTACACAGATACATACATGTAATACAAAATAAATTTGGAATACTTTAGTTTCATCCTCATCTGTAATTACATATCTATAAATTCCTTTTGACCTTGGAATTAGATTTTTTTTACCCAGAATAAAAGTTAATTGATTTAACTTCATACATGGAATATCTTGAGTATTATGACTTCATTAGAACATGAATTTCAATTTTCCTAACTCAAGAGATTGAAGGTTAAACCCTGGTATCTTGATACACTGTTTCTTTGTAATGTGTATTTTCTTGACCTTATGTTTGAAATGTCAGTGTGTCTTAATTTAGAGGTTTCTTACTTTTAGCGTATTTTCTTGACCTTATATGTTTGAAATGTTAGTGTGTCTTAATTTAGAATTCCTTAATTTTGTGTATTTTCTTGACCCTAGGGGTGGAGTGCTTGCCCCCGGTGCTGCCTTCCAGGACACCACCCTTGTCCAGAGACTGTCAGAGAACAACATCAAGTTCCAGGAACTGGACGATTAAGAACTCTAGCAGCTTCCCTGTGCCATCAATACAATATTAATCCGCTGCTTTGTTGTTTTTATTGGGACAGGTGCTTGATCTTTATACAGTCACACAGTTATATCTTTGAAATATTAGACAAAATATTAGACATTTGATTCATCAACTTAGTCTTCACTTGTTAGAGTATTTTATGTCTCTATTTTGGATGGTAATTAAAATACAGAAAATCCATACAGATATACAGTGTACTGTATATGTTTGTTTAATTTTAAGTAATATCTGTTAAATTATTTCTGGATAAATTTACTTTATTTGTGATATATATATGTACATGTAATGAAATCATGACATAGTTTTTTTCGTTTAAAATTATTTTGATTATAGCTCTCTGTTTTTTGATGATTAGAAAATATACCAAAGAATGTGTATATACCTTACATATAGATTTATACATGTAAATAACTTCAAATGTTCTATGTATGGTCATGCAGGGTGGTGGAAAACATTATGATCATAGTTTTACATCAACATGATCAATATTAAAGATGGTTAGGCACAAAATGCACAAAAGTGAAATGGGATCAAATTAATCTAATGATATAAAGAAGAATATTGAGCATCATGCATTTTTTTCAATTCTTCTTTTTATATTTTTAATTTTTTCATGTTGCTTATCATTATTTTCATTTAAATGTTCTACAATTTCGCTTACATGTACTTTTACAAATGCACTGATTCCATAGTGTTTTCTATAATGAAAAAGTTGGGGCAAATGCCTAGAAAAGAAAGTTTCCAATAAATGTACATTGTGTTCATCTAATAATAAAGCTGAATACTCATGTTTGAAATCCATACTTTTGCTGATCAAAAACTTGTATGTATTTTAAAACCTAATTGTTCAAGATTGATGAAAGATTTTACTCATACATACATGTACTAATAATGGATATACATGTACATGTATAGGAAGAATAGTTTTTAATCTGGATTTTGTAATTTGACTGTTTATTGTTAAAATTCTTGTTTAACACAAAGCATTAAAGCCTCCCTTGGTTGCCAGCATCATGCAAATTTTGATTTGTGTATGTTGCAACTACAAAGTACTTTGTGTCAGTAAAATTGCATGCATAAGTATTTATTTTTTCTTATATTTTTCTATTTAATGCAGTTCTTCAATAAATTGTTATGCTTATTTTTGCAAAGATATACAATTGTTAACAAAACTGTACTTTCAGCTGAAGATAAATTATTCTGCATTTATTTTTTATTTTTTCTTTTGGAGGAGGTGGGTGGCTCCTCATGTAATTTCAAATATGTCCATTGTATGGTGTCCAGATAGCTCAGTTGACAGAGCATCTGAATGGAGATTCAGGGGATTCCATGTTTGAATTCTTGTTTGGTCTGTCCAATGATTAATTCCAGGACCATTTTAAGGCATTCCACATAAAAATATGTCATGATATTGACAGATGAAAGACTTGTCAGAGAAGAGTTTGAGTTGGTGTCTTTGGGTTCAATATTCAGGGGCCTGCATGGCAACCGGGTCCATATAATCCAGGCCTGATCCATTTTCTCCTTTCTGATTACAATATGTATAGTTAATCATTCATCAGGCTTACCATGCTACAAATACAATAAAACATTGGGTGCAATTGTTTTAGTAAAGTGCAATGATGCCCTAAAAGCCTTACACTGTATTGAAAAAGAAGAAGAATGAACTTTATCAGAGCATAGACCTAAATTGAGGTATATATCCAGGGATCAGATCACCCGAGGGGCACAAGTAGCATGTTTATAGATAAAAAAAAATCCCTTTTGTACAGATAGTAGCAGTCCAATTTTTTTTTTTACTAATTATTAATAAATAAGGAAAAATTACATGTAAATGACATAGTGTAGATACATTTCTGATGTTTTAGTTTTTGGGAAAAATTTAAATTCGCGGGAAAACTCTTCAGTTTTGGAGATAGAAAGTTTCTATTGTAAAATGAAAGTAGAAAAATAAGGCATGATCTGCATAAAGTAATAAACAGATAATTTCCATTAGGGGGTTTTTTTCCTAATGGAAAGTAAAGGCTCGCATCCAAGCTCAACTCGGGGGATGCTCGGATGATCAAGTCAGAGGTACGTAAACATTTAAAAGAAAAAAACACAGGCCAGGGTGAAAATCCTTGATGTCAATCGTATGATATGGTTAAAATCAATGGAAGTGGTGACTTCTAATTAGGTATAAAATGTTAAGGTGACGTGCCAAAATTTAACAGAAAGTCTAGAGGGAACAAGTTCAGTCATGAGTGTGCTTAGGCCCTAATACATCTTGTCTTGAATAGTGGGTCAGTCTTCATAGTTGGATCCACAATTTTCAAAAGTTATGTCCTCCCTTGGCTGTCATCTTAGGGGATAAACCCATAGAATCCTCACAGTAGCCCTTGTAGTTTTCAGGTGTAACTTTGTCATTTGACTGCGAAAATTTGTTGCATAGTGTAATACTGATCAGAAGACCAGTACAATCACTAGATTTAGCTACGTAGCTTGATTTACCTACATAGCTTTATTTACTTACCTGAGGTAGCTTTATTTAGCTACCAACTCAATTTATTTCTATAAAAAATCATATTTCTCAGGGTGTGCGGAATATATCCTTTTGATGCAGTGATCATTTTCAACTTTGAACTCATCTGAAAACAACTCTGAGGAAAAAAAACATTCTTGAAGAAATGTCTTTTTCTGCGCAATTGCAATCAAAGTTCTGAAAGTTTTGGGGCTATGTATGACAGTTAGAACAGTTACTCATTGAATGAAATGACAAAGAAGTCCAGTTCCGGTTAACTCGATAATAGGTCAGTATTCATTCAGCACAATGTGAAGTAATCATACTCAGTCATGCCTCACCGCACGCGTGAGAGAGAAGACAGTAATCAAACAATGGAATTACATGTTTTGCTCTAAATTGTCCAAATGCAGCAATGTTTAAATTATCTCTGCTTTGGATTGTTTTTATAAACCTCCCTAGTATGAATATCAATAGTCTCTTAATTGCGATTTTTTGTCTCTTTAAATAAAAAATAAAATTTTGAAAAGTTACATTGAAATAGCTAAATAAAGCTACCTGAGGTAGGTAGATAAAGTTACGTAGGTAATTCTACCTACGTAGCTAAATCTAGTGATTGTACTGGACCTGCTGATATTGCCCCATGTTGGGGCTACGCACACATCCAAAGAAAATAATTTAAACACAGTGGATTCATCACAGCCCACCCAAATGTTTGGTAGCATAAAGAGGAGAAATGTTGTTTCTTTCCCTTTTGACCTTTTGGTAGACTACGCAAAGGGACACAACTTTTGTAAAGTGTGGATTGGTCTATAAGATCGAGCCCGGTATGATGAATATAACAAAAATCAAGCAAACAAATTGATCTGTGAACAGGACTAAAACATTGACCCCTGAAAACAACAGGGATGGTACACACATCTGATCTTTGTTTCAATCATGTTCATTGATACATTCCTGTGTGTATGTGTGTGTGTGGGGGGGGTGTTGTCCATTGGTAGAACTTTTCTCTAGAAAGCAGGTGCCCAAAGTAATAAGTAAATTAGGTTGATGGTGTTGTTTATTTCCTTTATTGTGTATATTTTTTATGAACTTTCTCTCCAGCAGCAGTGTAATGTCCAGGAGATCTCGGATCCACCCCTTGCCCTGGCGCGAGGTCCAGTTCTACCGTGGGGTACACATAAGTGTTGTTGTATATATCACCTGGCTGGTCTACAGAGCATCTAGAGGTAACATCTGAATCTGATAAATATGACCAAAGCTAATGCTTCAAAAATTTTATTCAGCGGTGAAAAATTTCAGGATTATTTAGTGTACTTGGCAATCTATTATTTACTTGTGTGTACATGTTAATTTAAGTCAAATTTTTCTATTTGTCATATATATTTCTGAATCTGCAAAACTGATGAGGTAGACTTGGTCTTTTACAATTATCTTTTTTAAATATAATATACATTGTTTTATATATAATCAATGCTTTGTTTGTTTATTCTTGTTTAATATAGAATACGATGGAGCTCTGAATATTTACGCCTTTGAGCCAGGGTGGAAGTGGATTGGAGCTGACAAAGTAATTTGATTTAATAGAAATCAATTGCTGATAAAATATAACATTGTGATACACATTTAGCAATGAAAGATACCAAAAATAGAAGAAAAAAACATATACGTTGAAAACTCACTATAAATATTAATTATATATACTTTAAAATGGCAGATCATAATTTACAACTGACTTGAAAGTGCAATCAAAACACTACCCGGTAATTATAAAATAAATATTTCTCCACATTCTAAAATAGGACATTTAATTTTACCTCTTTTCCAGGATGTGTCTAACTATGAGTGGCATTACTTTTACAACTGGTTCTGGGTGGTCTTGCCTTTTTATGTCGGTCATGTGGCATTATCAAAAATCATAGAATGGAACTTTATAGAGGTAATTAATTTTGAGCTACAAAATGCTCATTTGATATTTCAACTCATTAAAATGTTCAAATTTTTGGTTGAGTTACCTCTCTTTGAACACACATTGCATTATATTTTTTTTTTACAGATGAGAAGATGGGTGGATCTAACCTACTCGTGTGGTGTTCTCCTGTATCTGATGGGATGGAGGACCATTGTTTTGTTTACATGTCATTGTTTGTTCATGTTTTTCATCTCCTTCTCCCAATCATTCTCAGTTGTATGGATTACCTCCCTTGCCCTCCTCATGACACTTAATGTGGACTACACTTACTCCCTTATGGTATGTCATCAAATTTTGGTGTAAAAATATAAACCAACTTTATTACCGGTTCTTTAAAAAGCAGGCTTTGTAGTTTAGCTGCTTTGGTACCAACATCAATGCACTTATTCATGAATGCTGCTATAAACAAATCGTTTACATGTATAATTACAATACACTTTCCAGACCTGTGTAACACTAATTCATGATTACCAACAATTCCATCCCCAGTGATTTTCACTAAGTTTTGAACATGCTATTTTATGTACACATACAATATTTAAACTTTTTCTTGAGAAAATAAAATAACGAAACAAAAAAACCCCTTCATATTATGAAGGTTTTTTTGTTTCGTTATTTTATTATAAAGACTTTTGAAAAAAAAAAAACCAAACAAACAAAAGTCATGTTAAAGTTATTTTAGATTTTTTATTTATAAGACATTTTCTTTAAACTAGAAACATTTTTTATCTGCTTTAGCGTGACTGGTGTTGTCAGGAGAGGGATGGGGAGTTTTATCTGATGGTGTACACTCTGGCTCTCACTCACCTCCGCTACACCAGCTTCTGTCTGGAAAAATGTCTCCATGACAACAAAGGTCAGGCAGAATCCAGTAAAGGTCAAGATCATTCAAATTCTTACAGCAGTGGATCACAGAATGAAGGACCCAACCCCTCTGTCGACATCGGGACCCCAAGAGTCTGTGGGGAGGGGTTTATAGATATGATGTTTTATGTGTTCTACCTGCCACTCTTTTTCACGGGACCACTGTTGACTTTCAACTCTTTTAAAAAACAGGTAGGTACAGATATGCTTTGATTTTGCATCATTATAACTGTAAATAATTTTAAGTTATAAATATATTACCGGTAAATATTGGTGGGAAATGAAAACCACTTTGCTGAAAGCATCTATTCATTGTAAGCAGGTTTGCTATAAACATGTTTTACTGTAAAGTGAAATGTGATTTCTTTTTTGCATTGATCCTATCAAGTGTAGAAGTAAAAATTTTTGATTTATTGAATGACAATTGTTAGTCTCACATAGACATATTCTACAATGCATATCTTATTTTCTTATTTTTCAGGTGAACAATTTCTACAAGTCAGATTCCAGCAGTCTGCCTTATTTATTTCTGAACGTATTGAGATTCCTTTTCTGGGGAGCAGTAAATGAATTCCTCCTTCACTTTCTGTATTTCAATGCCATTCAGCAGAACAATGCCCTGATGAACCGCTTGGACCTCTGGACCCTGGCTGGAGTCGGCTACTGGAACGGCCAGTTCTTCATGAATAAGTACACAGTTCTGTACGGAGTGCCGGCCAGTGTGGCTCGCCTGGAAAAGCTGGATCCTCCCCCCGGTCCTAGATGTGTGGCCTACATCTACACCTACTCTGAAATGTGGAAGTGAGTGTCAGAGATGGTTTTTAGCTTACCTAGACCAAATGTTTGAGTGAGATTTTCTGACCACCTGTCCTACATTGTCTGTCTGTCCATTGTTTAGCCTTATACATTTTCATCTTCTTCTCAAGAAATACTTTTCCAAGTGAAAACTTGCCAAACTTGCCACAAAGCTTTCCTTGGGTAAAAGGTATTTAAATTTGTTCAAATGAAGGATCATGCTCTCTTTCAAGGGGAGATAATCAAGAAAAAGAATACTCCACTGAAACTTATATGAAAACTTTTCATCTTGTAAATTTTGTTTCATGAACATTGCTAAGGAAATCAAAAGGTAATATCCCAGTCATAAGTGAATTTTGCCAAGAATCAAAGGCATTTATAAGACGTACACAATACGACTAAGATCTATATGTTTTTTTTTAAAATGAGATATCATTCAAATGATTGTTTTAAATGCTTTAGGCAAAAAAAAAAATTAATTTCTTGGTTCTCAGGCCCTCCCTCATCTCTTCCAAGGGTGCCTCATTGACCCTTTTTATTGCTAAATCAATAAAATATAAACATCAAATCACCTCCCTCATCATTTTTTGAGGTTTTGTACAATGTAAAAGCTGCCTCATCATGTTTTGGGGGCAATAAAAAAGAAAAAAAAATGCCTCCCTCCCTCATCATATTTCTTGAAAAAAGGCCTGAGAACCAAGTATTTAACTTTGCATGGCCTTAGTTTTACAAATGTGTAATAGGATTTGATATATGAAATTTTTTTTGTTATTTGTTACTAGATACTTTGACAGAGGAATGTACAGTTTTATAAAAAGGTAATCTATTTTTTCTAATATATACATGTACATGTATGTATTTTTAAAAAAATGTACATATCAGCAAATTTAGCATTTATTTTCAAATTGATAGTATGTTTGTTATATATTACTGATAAAAAATATATTTTTCATCATTTTAATCTATTTGATTGTTTTCCATATTTAGATACATTTTCTTCCCTCTGGGTGGATCTGAGAGTGGTGTAGTGCGTAAGACATTGGCTTCTGTGGCCTGTTTTGTATTTGTTTATGTGTGGCATGGCTCCGAGTATTATGTGTTTTTGTGGACGCTTTTTAATTTCCTTGGTGTGATTGTGGAGAGAATTGCCCAGGGAGTTCTGGAAATTCCATCTGTGATAAATGTTCAGGTATGAGACTTCTTAGAAAACTATTGTGATATTGCTTTCCATTATAAAATAGAAATTGAAAAAAAGGTTTTTGGATTTTAAATACAGTTGAACTTTGTTATCTTGAAAATGAATATCTCAAATACCATGGATATATGTATGTAGAAATGCTAAAATAGACCTAACCTGGTCTTTTTTAAGTATTTTACCCTGAATATCTCAAATCTTTGGATGTCTCAAAGGGTTTTTTTGTCTCATCAAGTTCGAGATAACAACGTTTAACTGTAGTTTTTGACCACCTTTGAACAAAATATTCTTCAAACAACTGGTAAAACATTGATAATTTTTCAAATATTTCTACAGAATTTATCACAAATGCAGGTTAGGGTTCAAATTTAAATTGTTGGATAAATATCTGTTTTTATAGTTTGATTCTTCCATAACTATTGTAGAGAAGGTATCTAACAAAGGAGTGGATCCGGCGATTGTACGGATTCCTGAGCGTTCCGCTGTTTCTGATGTCAGCCATCACTGCCTTCTGTTTCTTTGGTGGAAGCTCAGTGGGTCACATATTCTACAGCAGGTATATTTCATCAGGTGTGTGGATTTTAAATAATTAACAAAGTTATTAATTAGAATCATTCTCAGGAATACTAAGATTCCATGCTGATTCTTGCCTCATCCCGAATTATTTTCAAAAAGCAGTGAAGAAGGAAAAATATACAATGGGGTTGGATTTTTCTTTTCTTTGATAAATCTTCCTGAAGAAAATTATATGTACATAAAATAAAGAGAACAGGTTGACCAAACAATAAAAAGTACATGGTATTTGAAGAACAAATGTGTGGGGGTGAATTTTGCAAAGTTTCTCTAATTATGAATTTATTTAACCCCAAGTAAACACTCAGTTTATGTGTTATTTCCTAACAGAGCCAGGAATAAGTACTTGTCCACTCATGATAGGGAATAATGCTAAAAATAAAATGGAGCCAATATTTCTATGAATTTGTAATACTATAAACAGTAAAACATGTATACATGTATAAGTGCCAGGGATGGGCTTCGTTATAAACGTAATTCATTATATCCATTAAGTGTTCACTTCAATATAATATAAAGACACGGGGAATGAAGATCACTTCGCTGTGAGTGTTCATTTATTATAAGCGTATTTGCTATAAGCATGATTAACTGTACATGTAATTTAATCTCTCCTCAGAGGCCATGCATGCAGTGTAATCTAAAGCATTCCTCACTTTACTCCTATTGGGTATTTTTGGATTCTAAATACATTTTTCGTTGAAAGCGAATCATTGACATTTGCTAGATCAGTTACCATAAACTGACTTCAAGAAATTAAGTTAAACTAAGTTTACACATGCTTCCCAGTTTTATGGCATGATTTTAATTAAATGCCATTAAAATCACTAAAAAAAACAGAGACTGACAGAGAAAAACAAGCAAGCTTTAAAAAAAATCATAATTGAAAAACCTCATTTGATTTTCACTTCAACATTGACATTATTCAAACTAACATCAATTTATTGTCAAGAGACAAATGTGGTAATTTTAGTTTTTTTAATGAGTGCTCTGCATTTTTCACACAATTTAATCAATGTCAAATGCTGCCATTCTGAGAAGAAAATGACTCCCTAACTTCAGCTTCTATGTTATCAGAATAATGGTTTCGTTGACTTTGGGATAGAATTTCTCTTCCCAGGGGACCGCTAGGTTTATTGACACGATATCACTCAAGTGCTCAAGTCAAGGTCAAACATTCCCGCTACTGGTACATGTATATGTATATTTATATTTTTGTTTATTTAAGGCATAAACTTGCACTTATAAATCAGTTTGTTCAATGACCAGGAAGTTGACATGATCGTGAATTATTGATAACGGCCATAAGTGCTGATACACCCCGAGTATTGGTAAGGATATATGGAGGCTTAATGGATGTATTACTGACACTAGGTCACGAATCAGTGTTAATTATGTCCCAGCCTTACTGTGTAAACTGTAATTATGTCAAGATTCTGCAGGATTCAGATTCACTGTTAGATATAGCTGGATATTAGTAGCCTAGTAACCTTGCTACTTAATTTGGTTTTGTTTTTATGTTATCAACTTAAAAAGAGTAAATATCTCGCAGACATACAGGCAAGCTTGGAAAGAGAAAATATCTTACAGGTAAAAAACAGTTATCCCATGGACAAACGCGCAAATTAAAGAAACCAAATATTTTATGGACATCTAACATTACGATAGCTTAAAAAGAAAACTGCTAGCAATTGCTATTTCTTTGAATAGCTGAATAAGGACTTAATATCCATTGCATGCAAGTCCAGTTAAAAGACCCAGGTCTATACTTTACAACGTCCCCCCCCCCCCCCCCCCCCCCCCCCTAAAAAAAAAACACAAAAAAAACAAACTTCATATTAGGAATTGATCCCTACGTCGCTAGTTCAAATCCCACTGTGAGATGTGGAGACCCATCCTTCGGATGAGACCAAATAAACGGAGGTCCCGTGTCACAGTAGGTGCTGGCACAAAAAAGATCCCTCCCTGCTCAATGGCCCCAAGTGTCGAGTATAGGACAAAATTTGCAGCTCTTCAGTTGGTGGTATCTCCATATGAGTGAAAAATTCTTGAGAGGGAAGTTAAACAACATACAAACAAACAAAGCAAACAAAATGACAAGATTAAAATGTGAAGTGCTTTCTTTTATCAGGAATACAGTCCCATTGGCCTCTTGTTTTTGTTTTGCTTTTATTTTTTTCACTTTTATTTCCTAACTAAAAGGATGGACAACCTATGTCTTACAGAACAGGTCAGTTAACTCTGTTTTCAATGAATTGTTCTTTCATATGTATTTTTTTCCCTCTCCAAAAAAAGTATCAGTGTTTATTTCTAATTGATCAAAGTATTAAGGATTTAGAATGGGTCATTCCAGATACTTGTGGCAGTTCAGATTTAAGAGAAAGAAATAGCTTAACCTGTCAAGTTTAGTTACTAAACCTTGCCATTTCCTCGGATTTCTTTCGTTATAATACACACCATCATTAACTTGATATCAGAGTTTATTATTCACAGAGGACTTTCACCTTCTTTAATTGTGTATCAGAAACGTGCAACCATGCACCAACCATTTAATCAATGAGAATCAATACAGGCTTCTCAGATTCAAATCTCGCTGTAAATGAAACCATTTTCTGACATCTTGTAAACACGATTTGAGGAGATTTCTTGCTTTGGACTATGCCAACTTTGTATTTTAGATTATAGATTAATTTCAACTGTTATTTTATTCGCCTAATTTTAAAAAAATATTAATTTGCAAAATTATATTTTTATCTAAGTCATTTTTTCTGTAAAACTAAAATCGGACCCTAAATACAAGAGCACTCCTATTTGTATCTCTATCTCTCTCTTGCCCCCCCCCCCCCCTGCCCTTTTTCTCCCTAGCATTTACACCCATCTTCAGGTTGAATTGAAGAAAGATTTATTTTGTATTTTATACTCACTGAGAAATTTAACCCTTTCATTAATTCACTCTTGTTTTTGATCAATAATTTTTTTTCCCAACTTTTACAAGATAAATTGTCAAAATGATGTGACACAATGGCCCAGCTATCCCCTTTTAAGTGTAAATATTATAATGACAGTTTTTCTAAATTAAAATTTTGTTTTTGTTCTATCTTTGATTTCTTTCTAATATGAAAATTTATTGCAGTGAAATTGAAAATATTTGATGAATTTTTCAATTGTTTAGTCTGAAATAGAAAATCTTAGGACATTGAAATTAAATGGGAAAAAAAATGATCAGTAATTTCAAAGAGAAGGATCAAAGTCAGTTTATCAAAACTTAAATAATAGGTACATCTGGTGAGGATGAGATTTTTTCATTAAAACTATACTTCATTCCATGCTGGGATACTGTAGGTTTGTAATTTCCCATATTGATTTTATGTTCATCAAAAGATCTTTAGATGCATTGCTTATGTAGCGTGGCTAATTTTCTCGATTTACAATACAGCGCGTTTGATATATCTCATCATTAAAGTGTTATTATCTCCCTTTTTAAGGTCGCATCGATCCTTTTTTTCTCAGTATAACAGACTTTTGTGAAGACACATATATCTTTGGGTCTTTGAAGTCGTGGGGTGAACAAACTACAATGTCTCTGCAGCCGTCCTATTTGGGGAGGGGAAATATCTCGATCAGTTTCGTCGTAGATCATTCAGATCTCGTGTGAATGGTCTCTCCCTTGATGTTTATTTTTCACACAAGAACAGCATGCTCTGAACCTTTGTGTAAATGTCACACTTCTGATCCTGAACAAAGAATTAGCCTATCCTTTCCACGAGAATTTGGTATAACTTAACCATTTAAAGTTGTCAGTGCTCGATTATATGTTATAGTATCCTATGAATAGAAAGTCACATTTTATTTCTGGAGAGCTTTTTTAGGTGAACTGTTTTGCACTTGCTGTCTGTATTTATTGAAGGCTTCAAGTGAAATATTTCCAGATTGAATTAAATATTATAGAAATATCCAAATTGTGTAGCTATACTTTTAAAATTGGATGATTGACTCTACTTTCCAGAAAAATATGTAGCATTTAAATGCTTAAATCTTAGTGCATTAAACTTTTTCAGGCTTTAAATATTTTAACAAACTTAATTTCTAAAATACTAATTTATGTAAAGATTCAACTTTTTTCTGTTATCAACCCCTACTTTACCCTAATTTTTAGCTCACCTGAGCTAAAGTCAATATCTGATTCTGCTTCCTTTAGCCAGTGTGCTCAGGTGAGCTATGTGGCATAAAGTGGGCCTCTTTTTTTTAAATCCATTTAACAGTGTACCAAAAGGGAAAAAAAAAAACAGGGATGGGACACTGAAATAGCATGGAAGAAATATAAAGAGCAGCTTACTATGGCAAAAAATAAAAATTAATTGTTATGATTAGGTGACTGGAATAGAATAATTTTTAATTAAATTACTAAGCAGTTTTGAGAAGTAAGTTTTAGAGTCATGAAAGTCTAAAACTATTGAGATTTAAGGAAAACACAGCAACAAAATTGCCAGAAAGAGGATAAAAATTGATAAAATGACTTTTATGGTTCACCAGTAATAATTGTCTAACAACTGATTTCAAAGAGGAAGCAATTACTATTCTATTTTGGTATTACAATGTGCCATACTAAATTCTAAATTCAAGAGTTCCAGAAATTATTAGCACTATATATATATATATATATATATACATGTACAAAAAAAACATGTACTTTGATTTGCTGTTATTATTAGTGAATATTCATTCATTCATTCATTCTGTCTTTATTTCCTCTCGTAGGAGATTGCATGAATATGAACACATTAAATTATGTAAACATCACAAAAGAAAAAAAATAGGAAAAACAATTACAGATCAAATTAGAGAGAAAAGACAAATATGTACATTAGATTACAATAGGAAAGAACAAGGTTGCTGACTAGAGCAATATACGAGGTAAAAAAAAAAGAACAAAGTTGCCAACAGAATGCATAATAATGTCCAAATAAATAAAGACAGCTAGGAAATTTATTTCAGGAAATTGATTAAGAAATGCTAATCAGAAGTGAAAAATATAGATATTTTATGTAATGTAATTTATAGTGTTACAAATTTGCATGCTGATTTACTGATATAAATTTGCTCCCATTGTGTTGATAGAATTACATTGGAACTTCAATTAGTTTCATTATGTTTACAATGATGATGAAGTAAATAAGTAATACAGTTGTTTATATGTTAATTATGTTCCCCAAACGAAGTTGGGGAACATATTGTTTTTACTCTGTTTCTTCTTCTTCTTCTTATTATTATTATTTTTCTTCTTCTTCTTCTTCCTGGAACTTTTTTGTACGGGAATGATCTTGTAAACTGTTCGTCCGATGTAGGTAAAACCTTTTTAGGGTTAGTAGACATGTTATGTAGATTTGCGGAATCAAGGTCATTTTGCGCGCACGTGCTTGCAAGAGCGTGCACGTGCAACACGTGAAATGACCAATATAGTAGATATAGCCACAACTGTTCTATTTTTAGATGAAATGCTTTGAAACTCATAATGTGAGGATATATTAGTAGTATAGACATGACGACATGGTGAAAATAGCAAGATCTCACGCGCATGCACGTGCACTTCGCTCTGATTGGCTGCAACTAAAAATATCTTTCTTGTTGTTTAAATCCTTTGAAATTTTGAACATTGCATTAGGATATCCTACAACATGAAATAAAGCAATTATCATGAAAACACGTGCATGCACGTGCGTTGCAATCTGATTGGCTGAAACTTTAAACAGCTATAACTCCCTTGGTTTTCAACCAAACAGGATGGAATTTGGAACATAGATAGATATAATGGACTTCTACAAGTAGGTATGGTCACCATGCACATGCATACACATGCGTGTACATGTGCTGCAATCTGATTGGCTGAAAGTTTAAACAGCTATTACTCCCTTAGTTTTCACCCAAACGGGGTGGAATGTAGAACATAGATAGATGTAATGGACTTCTACAAGAAGGTATGGTCACCATGCTCATGTATACACGTGCGTGCACGTGAATTGAGTAAAATCAAACATACACTTGAATGAGTGTATTTTTTAAATAATTTTGGATTAAATACTTTAATATTCAGTGTATTAAAAATATAGATTGTGTAGACAATATGATATGGTCATGCAAATGCATTCACATGTGCACGCGTGCAATGCTAAAGTTTAAATGATTTTTGTACACTTCTTTGTAAATGTTGTTAAAATCTCAGATGCATAGAGTTTGTCTTATTTAATGAAGCTTACAGGGAATATGGCACCAAAAGGTAAGCGTTTAACATTGTTTATATGTTACAATTAGCACTAGTTCAATTTGTCATTGTAGCTTATAACTTTTCTTTCCAGGGAATTTCCAGGCCTTAGCAACTGTTTACGCAATCTTATATTGCTGTGTGCAGTCTAGCATGGAAATAAAGCGCAACTCACATGCCAAGGACTGTTCAAAGGAAAGCTGAAATTAGGTAAAACTAATGTGTGTTATCAGCTAAATAACCAACATTGTAACTAATGAAAATAACCAGCAAATTAACTAAAATAATTAACCAACAAACTGTAACTAACTAATTAACGAGATAACCAGTTACCTGAGCTCACGTACCAGCTAAAAATTAGCTAATTTTGAATTTAAGGGATTTAAAAATACGATATTCCTTTATATTTCAAGACTACCCAGTTTACTTGTTTTTCAATAAAAAGTGGGGACATATTGTACATGCTCTTAAAAAAGCGGGCTTCATATTTTAGCAGCTTTGGCACAGACTTTATGGGCTAATTCATGAGTAATGCTAAAAAAAATCATCTAAAAGTAATACACATGTACATACAGTGTGGAAGAGTGTAGCACTAATTCATGAAGAAGCCAAGAACTCAAAACACGATGATTTACGGTAGCTAAATTTTGATTGCGCCAATTTATGTTCACATAGAGTATTAATGTCTAGTACCAAAGTGTTAAAAAATATCCCTTGTATGTTTATGAATGTGATGTACAGGAAAAATCAGGAAAGTAATAAGCAACAGATCAAGACAAAATTAATTATTTCTTGAATTTCCTGTGTCCATTTTTTATTAGTAACAATTTGCATCTTTTGGAGACAAAGTTACAGAAAAATTATTATAGTACAAAATTAATGTCTGTAATTTTTGTGATATGAAACTTTTTTCCCCATCACTTTATCCATTCTAGTAAAAGTGCAACTGTACTAAGCTTGTGTGAAGAGCAATTCAGGGAAAAGGTTAATATGGCCAACGTAAACGTTTTGAAGATAGCTGTTATTTCGAAAGAAACATTAATTTGTATTGTCATTAATGGCTTAAGTAACCAATGACAACGATTGACTGCAACCAATTAAAACAAACATTACATCAGTCTTACTCTTAGGAACTGAATAACTATTGGTAATCAGTTCTGTTAGCTTTTTTTTCCTATGAAAAATGTATGAAAGATGTAATAGTGGATGAAGAGTGATAAAAAATGACTTAATTACATCATTATTATGCAACCAATATCATCAGCTTAAGTGCCATCTATCTAATAACCTGCGAACTTTTTAATTATTCATTAACTTTCAATATATAATTAGTGATGCGACAACATTGAGGCAGTGAAAGGAAACAAGGCTTTAACAAATATATACCGGTCCCTACATAAACAAAATAACGTGTTAGAGGCTTGGCTTGTGAAGTCTATATTTACAAGCTTTATTCTGTCCAGTGGATAACCAGTGAACAAGTACACGGGTAACCAGTAGTAAATATATCACTGATTTAACCGTCTGTATGTCTGTCTGTCTTGTCTCTGTTTTCTATCTGTTATTATTAAGCCTTTTTATGGAGCAAAGACTAATGATGACTTCATAGTATAAGTGATATCATCAGCATAATCCATAAAGGCATTATTCCTTCTTTTTTCCTCTTCAGTCAAATGACAAAATTTCCACACTTCAGCCCTTAAGGGATTAAATCTGTATCACGTTTAGTCATCTGATTGATATTGTATCAAGTCTCTAGAGGTTTAAAAGAAGTGGAGAAATTATTTATATTCGTTGTGTTAATGTTATATTTATAAACTTTTACAATATGAAAAAAATATTTCTCAGACTTTGTAATGACTTTTCTGATTTCAATGACTTTTCTGATTTATGATTTTTTTTTTTAATTTTAGGTACTTTTTCCTTGGAAGCTGTGTGGAGCTGAAATTTGTCTCATAAAGCAAACAGCAAAGAAAACATTGGACCAAAAGAAGAAAAAAAAACATTTTAAAAAGAAAAAAACTAACTTGCGGGAACAAAGATCAGATGAATCTTTGACTAGTGACTAGGGTAATCTGCCGTCATTTCCACACCCTCATCAAAGTCTATTGTAGACAACGATGATATTGTTTTTATCAGAATTCTATTGACTTTATCTCTCTTCAGAGACATAATTACAATATTTAACAATGGTCGCCTTTATTAATGGAAGCTAATTATCGGATCTTGAAACAGAAATATATGTCAGCTTCATCTAGATGAATGAGAAATCAGTTTCATTATGATCACTGCTTTATCACAAAAGATAGGATGGTTATTACAAACTCATCAGTGACATGGATTCAGGAAGCACACAGTCTCACATGACCTGGAAAATGGACACTAGTCGACAACAGATTAATTTACCCTGTTTTTGAATTTCTTGCCAAATACTCACATTAGGTATCATCTGAATTGTAAAGCGTCCAATTTTCATACCTATATCTATGATCCGTATACATGTATAAAGTCTCAGTAAACATATAAAAATAGCTAGTTATGTCTGTGGTATTATAACAAGATACAGCATCTGTCCATAAAATTGAAAAATTCCAAGAAGGTTAAAACTTTTGAGATATCCATGAAAATTGGCCATCGTGTGGTATCATGTACAGTACTCTCTGAATGTAGTGATTTTGGTCATGGGATACTAAATATTTTCTAATTTGTTCACAGCTTATTGCTAGAAAGAACAGTAAAAAATAATTTTTTTTTTCTTGATTAAATGCTGTAAATCATCTTTTTTTTTTAAAGAGAAAATGGTTTTGAAGTACACAAGAAAATCTTATATTCATTTTCACATGTTTCTATTATTAAAGATTTTATTAAATACAATAATGACCTTATATAACAGCAACCAAAATTATTATAAGTTTTCTCACATATTTACCAAATAAGAATGATACGAAGGTAGGATAAAATTCAATATGATCCATAGAATAATGTAGAATTTAATGAAATTTTACTGCTTTCTGTGAATCACTATAAGTAACATTTATTCAGGTTTAGGTTAGAAAGGAAAACAAACTCTGTAACAAATATGGTTATTTTTTTCATTTATTGAATTAAAAATAAAAAAAAATGTATTAACAACAAACTGATGGTAATGTTCATTTCATAGGAATGTCTTTTTAATCACATGACTACAACAGCCAATGAAAAGGTTTTAGAGGGCTGATATAAAAACAGTAACAAGATATCACATTTTATTGGTTAACAAAGAGGTACTATTGCAGTAAAACAGTACAGGAAATTTGAAGGAGAAAAAATACAGAGGGCAATAAAACATTGACATGGTTTATTGGAAAAAATATATTTCTGACTAGAAACTGAACTTTATGTTTATAAGCAATTTGTAACATTCACATTTATCTACAGTAGACCAGTGTGCAAGAATTTTTTTTAACTTTGTTATTTAAGTAAAGTGGAATGTACAGAGACTTATGTGTACTAGTATTTATTAACGTTCAGTTAAAGGGTGAGATTGAAATATGTTAAGCTTAGCCATTAAAATACAGTGGAATGTAGTCAGAGAAATTTGGGTTTCTACATCATTTTACTTAATTGATGAGATAAATGTGTGACTTTGTCATTTAAAAATAAATTGAATATGTTAAGAAATATGTATGAAATGTCATTTAGTACAGTAAAACAATTACAAATATGTGTAACTTGTCATTTCATTTCAGATATATGTGTTGAAAGGTCATTTAAATACAGATGAACGATGAGAAATTTGTGTGAATTATGTTATTTTGTTAGTAAGAAACATTGGTAACTTTGTCCTTTTTTGGTGATTATATAGTTATGTGTTGGGAGAAAAGTACAGAAAAATGGTGTGAAATATGTGTAACTTGTCAAAGTACAGAAGAACAATGAGAGATATGTGTAATTGTCATTGATGGTAAGAAATATGCGTAACCATAAATGTTTTGGTGAGAAACATGTGTAACTATTCATTCAAGTACAGAAGAATAATGAGAAATATGTGCAACTATATCAATTAATTAATTGGCGAGAAATATATGTAACTTTGTCATTTATGTGTAACTATGTTATTGTGTATAACTATGTTTTTCGGGTTGCCCTCCTCACGTGACTATGGACTATTTTGGCATAGAGCTGATTAAATGGAGGGAGTGGTCTGTGATTTAATTACGAAAGCAATAAAAAATAAAAATATGAAGACAGTAAAACACTATTGAATATATAAAGTTTATGATGAAGTAAAATTATGTAATGAAATGGCGTTATTAGAAAGAATATTTCTTGATTCTACTGCAATGAAGACTTTTCAATAACATTACTTAAAAAGAAAAAAGAACTCGACACTGTCTATAATGTATCATAGTATTTTTAAGCAATATGCTTTAACGTAATTTTTTAGACGAAATAAAAACGCGCACTGGTCTACTTTCATTTTCTAATGGACCAATTGCTTTATAATGTCATCGTGTAGAAACTATTAAGTGTATGTAAGGGTCTTCAATGAATAATGGACAAGCTAAACACTGAAATACGTGTTTATCACGAAATATATATATATACAATTAATAAATTATAATCGAAAACTTGTGCAATTTTCAGAAATGAAAATTGTCAAGCATTCTTATGACTTATTCTAGGGGGCCGATCCACACAGTAAAGTTAACATGCTCGTTCAATGGCGGGTAACAGACTGGGTTAAATTACTCCGGCTACTGATTGACCCACGATTATATGTGGTTTGGGGTAGCTTGATCAGGTCCAAAGGTACATTTACATATGATTTGTAGAACTATTTGAAGAAATAAATATTGAAGTTGGACACATAAATATAGGCGGGTTCATTAACCATTTTCACTATAGGGTGATTTGAAAAGAAAACTCTTTTACCGTGTATCAGATTATAAGTTAATATCTTAAACAATAATAAAATAGCAGAAGGTCAGGTTAAGGTTACAATTAGTGCCATAACTTATTTTTTTTATTTTTATAATACAGGAGCATATCTGATATAGGCCTAAAGAAAAAATAAAGATATAGTTTCTCTGCTTGAATTCGTGCACGTTTGTTTACTATGAATAGAAACTGAAACATGCCCGAATGTAAAATCTATCTGACAATATTTATTATTAACTTTCAGATACATATTGTAAACTAGAAAAAAAAAAAACATGTCAAAATAAATTGTATATTAACTTACTGTGGACCGACCCTGCTATTCTAGTAACGAAAGCCCACTGGCAAGAACATAAAAACTTGTGTTTAAAATTACAATGTCAACAACAATTCATAACATAATGTTCATCGTTAAAATATGTGTAATAGAAGGGGAAAATGTGTTTAAAACGGTGTATATAACATATTTCACAAAAAGGCAATAAAGAAAAGAAAATTGCATATCGTTACACTCTTAGACCTCAGTGCAAATGGTTGGTCATCCTCATACTGTACAGTGAAACAATTGGTGAAACACGGATTGAAATTGTGTTTCGGAGATTGAACTTTAAATTTTATAACTTAGAGTGCGATTTCCGGTTTAAGATTATAGTGTTTTTTCACAATGAAAGCAAATATTAATGAAGCTGTAAAGCTTCTTGTCTTTTTTTCTTTTGCAAAAAAAAAATCATTTTTGACTAGGAACGATATGTGTAAAAACACGAAGCTCAACAGCGTCTAATCAACAATAAACCCGGTGTTCGAAGAACTTTTCCAAGTCTTGAACTTACAACAGCGTTTTAGACGTCCACGGGAACTACCCGCTGAATTCTCTTACCACACAGGACAAAAAATAAACAGCCTGAGTTTTGTCTAGTCCTAGAATTGTCACTTGGGCGCAAATAATTTACATATTATATCACAACTAGGATAATGCGTCACACAGTGAAAACCACATCGCAGAATTTTCGGGATTTTTTTCAAGAACACACGGTATAGGTCTCATAAAATATCAAGGTCACGGTCCTTGACATGAGCCCCTTCGTTGTCCAGGGGTAAGGTGATCCCCCCGGGGATTCTTCGCGTCTCCGGACGCTGAGAGTCAGGTGACATCTTTCTGTCCGTTTTTGCTTTACTTAAACTATGAATATTTGAACTGTATTTAAGTCTTTGGTCTTGAGAGCCTCTAGGGGTTTTTGTTTTCATTTTTAGCACATCGTCTGCCATAGAAATAACGTTTCGCGGGCTAGACACGTCAGTCACGCTTACGTCACTTATTGAGGCTGCAGGTCCCAAAGGCGGCGACAACTGACTTGCTGATGATTTAGGAGATATCGGTCTCGGAGTAGACATTCCCGTGGGATTCATGGAATACCCAGCTGCCGGACCAAGTGCAGAAATTAGCGGATATGCGTCCTTTGTTGATGGTGAATATTGACTGTTCTTTGATAGGATTTGATTTGCAGCATAGACAGATGAAGTCTTTAAGTTCTCTTGTGAGGATAATACATTATTTTCACCATTTGAAGATGACGTTGATTTATATCCTCCGTTGTTTTTATTTTGCATTACTTGACTAGGCGGTGGTGGTGTACCTTTTCTGATCTTTGGAGGCGTGTTTTGAGTTATGGAATCTGAAAGAGAAACATGTTCACGAACAACGGGAGATGTATTATTTCCATCTTTGGCGTTAGACTGTGTGCTACTTCCACCTTTAGTACTCGACATTGCGTTATTTCTCTCGTTAGAAACATGAGTAGAAACTTGTTCACTACTTGCTGGAGATAAAACAGGTCCGCCAACTATTGGAGATGGAACACGGTCATTGCTTGTCGGAAATGAAACACGTTCATTACTTGCTGGAGTTGAAACACGTCCACTACTTGCCGTTGATGTTTTAATAATAGAAGTATCTGATGACGTTTTGTGACTGGAGACCGTGTTGATATTCTGAACTTGAAGATGTCCCTTGTCTGTTGAGGAATTCGGTTTTGAAGAGTTATTGGATGACCCACTCTGAGGTTCCTCCTTTGATTTTTTGAGATTTGACAAAGTAACATTATCTGAAGGATGCCCTATATGATTACCCTGTAAAGTAGAATGACTTGCTGACGACGAAAGTCGGCTTATCGGAGAAACACCTAAAGACACGGAATTAGACCGTGTCGTATTGGCGTCACTGTCTTTTGGAAGATTCAGAATCGGACTTTCACGTGTAACTTTTGGAATGAACTCCACATCACAAATAAGCATTGTGGGTTTGGGAGATTCTTCTCCCGAGGATTCAGTGGCGGGATCCGCACTAGTGTTATTTTCGGTGTTCCCTTCAGAATTGTCTTTGGAATGTGGATAAGTGGAGTCCTCGTTTGAGGAACATGAAGAGGTACTAGGGGAGAACATCCGTAAAATTTCCGCGATTTGCTCGTCTATTCTATTCATTTTTTGATGTAAGATGTCCATGTCCTCTTTCATTTCTAGTTTAATGTCATGAATTGATGTCAACATATGACGTTCTGCTACAGACATAGCAGAGATAGAAGTATCACGACTTGTTATGTTATTGTTAGTCTCATTCCGCATCAACACTGAGTGCTCGACTGTTTCTTCGTTAATAAGATCCAGTTTCACATTGCTACGAATTATACCACTGTCCATTGACTCTGTCTTTCGTAGATTGTTCTGAGTTTCTTCTTTTTCAGTGTCTTTACTTTGTTCCATATTTCTCCCCATCATTTTGCCCCACTTTGGAGCAGGTTTTAAGTGCTGTTTATGGGGCTCCCCATTCTTGGGCTCCTCTTTGTTTTCGTTAATTGGTTTATTCTGCTTGCCTTCACCGTCTGAAGGACCAGTGCCATTCACCATTTTACCCCATTTCGAGGATCCTCCGCCCGTTTTAGGAGCGGAGTTTTCGGTAACATTGATAAGGCGAGCAAAACTTCGTGACTTTTCGGGCCCGCCTCTCTCTCCTCCGTTCATATCTGCCTTGCTTCCCTTTTCGGGGTCAGTATTAGTTTGCATCGCCTTTGCATCACTGATCTTTCTAAATCTAGAAATAAGTTTTCTAACAGGATGATCACTTGATAACTCTAGAGGAGGATCGTTCTTTCTTTTTTCAGCAAGTTCTTTCTCTTTCTTGACATCAGCAACCTTCCTGAAAATCAGCTAAAAAGAAAAAGGAGCAATCAAGAAGACTGTTAACCTAGCATTCCAATCATAGTATATAGTTTTGAAATTTAATATTTACCCTGTGTCTAAGGTTATAAGTGAGTGTAAGGTTCCTTGCGAAAGAATTAGCAAAAGCGTGGTAGAATTCCAGCACTTCCAGCAGACGCCCTCGTTTGATTGTGTGAAGGTCACAGTACGTTAGTGCTCGAACGTTTGCTGTTGATTGGCCAATTGTGTGTTCCTTCCAAAAGTTGTCCCCAAAGACGTCACCCTTACCTGAAATAAAGAAAATGTCAGGAATGAAACGGACAATTTACAAATAAATGAATGAAATAATACTAATTCAAAAACATGTCTGTAATTCCACATCTGTTAAAGAAATATGGATGTTTTTTTCAATGACATGAATTTTGATGTAATATCAAGAATGAAAAAGCGGATGATAAAAACAGTGGTCAATTTAAAAAAATACACACAGTCTGTCAACAGGATATAAAACATGACCACATGGGAATTCCAGAGATGGGACCAGGAGACTAAGAAGAGTACAAACCATTTACATACTGAACTTTGTTGAAATTTGTCTTTGAAACTCGCGCGAAAATTATATTCTGGATACTTACTCAAAATTGCAACGACTTCATCATCCTGGATGACTTCTAGAGATCCCGTGACAACAAAACACAAAGCATCGAGACTCTCTCCCTGGTGAAAGATAAGGTCTCCCGGGGCACTGTGCGTCATATTAAAATGCATAGCAAGTGCTCGTAGACAACCATCACTAGCTAGGCGGAAAGCAGGATGCTCCAAAAATACCTTTCGATTTAGATGAACACAAAGATCTGCTTTCATGTCTTTTGGGCAGTAATTCAAGACCTGTAATTAAAATGTAATAGAATGTTTTGCTGCAGGCATACATTATATACTTAAATTCGACTCAAGGAATGATTGAATTAGGCATTTGTGGTGGTGCAGTACCTTGGTTGCATCGATTCCCTTAGTGATTGCCCACGTGGATACAATGTAATCCATGACACGTTCACTGAGAGACTTTGGGACGTCATGTAGCTTCATGAACTCCCGCACGCTATTCAGCATGTCGTGATAGCGAGCAAAGTTTGCGTAGAATTGTTGAAATATGGTAGTTACGTTGGAAAAGATAAGTGCGTAAAGTAGAGCTACAATGAGAAGGAAAATTTCTTGTTGGTACGGAAAATCATATTCCGTAGAAAAACAAATGTTGATAATATGCATATGATAATTTACCTCCAATAATCATCATAAAAATTGAGAATAGCTTTTCATGCTCTGTATTTGCAGCAACATTTCCAAATCCTACACCGGTCATGCAAGATAAGGTGAAGTAAAGGGAGGTCAGGTACCGCATCCCCTTTCCTGGCCCCCCAGAAACGTCCAGTTCCGATGTTCCATTCAGAAAATAAAATACGTCTCCAGTAGTATTCGATAAATAGGTGAGCCAACCGTATGATATCCCACTCTGAATTTCACTTAGTCCAATACTGTACCATCCACAAGCGAACCAATGAGCAAAAAGAATAAACACAAGGATCAGAAGTATCAACATGGCGGCTCCATATTCCAGATAATGGTCCAATTTTCGGACAACTCGACCAAGTCTTAATAAACGGACAACTTTCAGAGCACTAAAAAGTGTACTGATACCCTAAAAAAGAAACGGTAAATAAAGAATTTATATAAAGATATTTGAACATTTGCATAGAATTCGAGGACTGCTTTTATTGAAAAGGGTGTCAACTTACATCATCAACATATTGAAATGCATTGAACACATCGTATGGTAGGCAGGACAACACGTCGACAACAAACCAACTTTTCAAGTAGTTCATTCGGATTATTTTTGAATCAGAAATAACTTCCCCACTAGGACCCACAAATGTGGTGTGGAAGTTGAGGATGATGTCGACGAAAAAGACGACGTCGACGATGCTGTCAATGACAAGAAGAGGAACTTGGTCCATGGTTTTGTTTTTGAAGGCGGTATTGTAAGGAACTGTCACGGCGGTGTAAAATGTCAGAAACAGGATGATCCAGTCCCACACGGTTTTAAATAAGCAGTAATGAAGAATTATATGAGGGGGAGTTTTTGGCGCTTCTAGTCGGTATTGTGGCAGTACGTCTGAGTTCAGACTCATCATCTGTAAAAAAAAAACAACTTGAGATTACTGGACGTCTTAACAAATAAATTTCTTAAAGGTTTTGAGAGCGCCACCTACATTTGCAATTTGTGATGGCTTGGAGTTGTCGAACTTGGTGCTTGGCATGTGAGAGGAGAATTGCAGCAGGGTTGAACGGTTTCTTGTCACAGAACGAGCAAGTCTGGCAAACTTGCTTAAACCTACAACAGCATGTTCAACAATTAAATGCAGTCACAATCGAGGTCCATTGACCTTTAATTAGAAAGAAAACACCAACTGATATTCATGAGTAATATGTTATTCATTTTCCAAATTTGAGGGGGGGGGGGGTTCAGGTCAATTTCTGTAAAAATTTTCCTGTGAGGATACTGAAATTTGCTATTAAATAACATTTAAATTTTCATTGAAAGAACCATTTAAATTAAAACAACATTTTATTTGAGTTAACACAGCTAGGGATTTTTTTTCCTGTTCTCAAGAGCTGGTCGTAATTTGCGTCTATGCACGGGTACACTTGTTTAAAAGTCACGTGCGATCTTTGAAAATTAATTGAAAGACATATTTGCTCAGGGACATCAAGTTTAATGAAATTAGACACGAAACTATCGGAAACTGCTTTTGACTTCAAAGTCAAAATACTGCATAAGACCGGATATTTCTTCAAAGCGAAACAAATGTCGCGTAAAAACTGAGACAACAAGTAACATTACCAATAATTAATTTCTAACCGTCTGTAATCCGTTTATTTGAATGCATCGTCCAATAGTTTATTTAGCGGTGAGCTACAAGAGTGCACTAAATTCAGATTAGTGAAAAGCCATAACGCTTCTCCCACGCTATGACAATTAATCAGGAAAACACTTTAAGTAAATGCATCTTTACTTAAATAAAGCATTTGTTTATACTTTAGGATATATTTTGTAATCCAAACATGTGCTATATTAGCAGTTAGATTGTAGCGGGTAGACTTGAGGTTCCCTGATTTAAAATTAGTATTTTTGTACATTTTCTTGTTGAGGTACGGAAATTGTAGAGGTAGAGAGATTTGTTATATTTGCAATATGTTTTTTATGTTATGGGAATTTTTCCCTTGCTTCATGTTCTTATAGAAGTAAGGGAATTTGTATCTTTGCTACATGTTCTTGATGACGTAGGGAAATTTGTATCTGCATGTTGTTGTTGAGGTAAGGAAATGGTATCTTTGCTACATGTTCTTGATGAGGTAAGGAAATTTGTATCTTTGCTACAAGTTCTTGATGTGGAAGGGAAATTATATCTTTGCTACATGTTTTTGATGAGGTAGGGAAATGGTATCTTTTCTACATGTTCTTGATGAGGTAGGGAAATGGTATCTTTGCTACATGTTTTTGATGAGTAAGGAAATTGTATTCTTTGCTACATGTTCTTGATGAGGAAGGTTAATGGTATCTTTTCTACATGTTCTTGATGAGGTAGGGAAATTGTATCTTTTTTTACATGTTCTTGATGAGGTAGGGATTTCTTAGATCTTCACTTACTTCCTTCTTCGTCTATTGGTTGTTTTAAAGCTGTGATGTCTTTGAATGTACACAGGAAAAGAACCACTTGTTCCTTTTCGTTTCTGATTGGTGCAATATGTAGAAGTAGCCATAGTGGGGTGCCTGTAAATATAGATAAAAGTATACCATTGCTGTTATTACAGTAGAACAATTAAAAGTAAACAAGACAAGTAGAAGTATCCAGTCGTCAATTGTTGTGATTGATTGTTTGTTGTCAAACGTCTCATATTTTAATAAGAAATCTTTTTTGAGACAACTTTTAGTTACATAAAATATATGGAGATAACGAAAGTATTCAAGCTCAGAAGTCCATTCAAACAATACCAATCAGAAGCAGAGCAACAAGAACCTCTAAAACATGAGGGGTAGGGTCAGGTGCCATGGAAAAGTGAGCATCCCCTACCGACCGGGCGCACACCCGTCGTGTGCTCCTTGTAATGATCAGGAAATAACATAAAATTCCGTATGCATTGGCGTCGGAAGCAAATTGAAAGTGGGGGGGGGGGGCTAAGTGTAAAGAAAATTTTTTATGTTATGGCCAAATTTCAAAAAAGTTATTTTTAGCATATAGGTCACAGTCAAGGTCACAAGGTCAATGACCTTGGTGTCAATTGAAAGAGCTTTTTTAGTGGAGTAAGCATGCCAAATATGAAGTCTATATCTTTCATGGTTCAATAGTTATTGCAAAAGTTCGAAAAAGCTATTTTTAGCATATAGGTCACAGTCAAGGTCATAAGGTCATTGACCTTGATGTCATTTGAAAGAACTTTTTTAGTGGAGTATGCATCTGTTGACAATAGACAGACAGACAAACAGATAAACAGACAAACAAACAGGACAAAAACAATATAGTTCGGATCTAGGAAGGGAAAAAAACCGCAAAGCCAATTTTTTCATATACGTGAACATTCTATTTATATTACCTCGTATGTGATAAATGTACTCGAAGCTGCCATAACACTCAATACATCTTTTCATTAATAACCCACACATTTACTTTAAAAAGATATACTATGGAATTAATTCCGTGTCATTAACTGATTTTTGTAATGATTTTTTTTCACCCGAATAATGAAATTTTTAATCGAGTGAGATGTGTATATATTAGCGCCTTCAATTCATATACATGTATAGGGACCTCAAATCTTTGACAGCTATATTTGGATGGGGAATAAAAAAAATCGCGATTTCGTCAAAAAACGGTAGATTCTATGCACCTCACGGAGAAATCTCCAGATAACGTCAAAAGTTGGTACTGTACTTCAGGGATGTGTACTGAAAATCTCGAATTTGTTCAATACTGAGAGGTACATCACGGACAAATTAAATTTTGCTATTACCGGAAGTATGTATTGTACTGTAAGGAGGGTTGCACGCGTGGGGTGATTGATAGTCTCTGCTCCGCGGAGTAAAAAGTTGATCCTTGCCCGCGGGTTCGAATCTCACTGAGGAACGTCGAGACCTGTCCTTTGGATGAAACCGTAAAACTGCGGTACCGTGACGTGGTAGCTATAAATCCTGAAAGTCACACGAAAAAGATACATCACTACTTCTTGAGTGCCGAGTTTAGTCCTCCACTGGCAAATATTGGATCTTATTAGAAAAAAATTTTCGAAAGCGACAACTAACAAAAAAAAAAACTTCAAAGAGGGGTACTGATTCTCGATTTCGTCAAATATTTGTATTCACCGTGCGGATAGATTTAATATGTTGATAACGTCAGAAATTGGTATTATATATCATAGAATGGAAGGGTAAAGGATCTCAGTATCGACAGAATTGTCAACGTGAAATCGAAACCAGACCTCACGAACGCCAAAACACTAGGTTAACGCGACAGGTAAATAAAATTGAAAAACAGCTTTGGACTTAAGAAATCTCCTCAGCCATTCCTATATACCTGAAGTTTATATATTTTACTTATATAATAACGTTTATTATTTTTCTTTATCGTTCCAACTATCTGATTGGCTCAAACTGGATCACATGATCAAGCATAAAAAGTGTTATAGACTGGATGCTTCTATTTTAAAAATTTATAAATCTGTTGTTTCTAAAATTGGAAACGTTCTTCTGTGAAGCAACAATAGTGCTGACGTCACAATAGTCTTTATAAACTGGATGTTTCTAAAAACAGATACTGCAGCTGGTATTCATTACTATGACGTCATATTTGAAGTTGCTATACTTCTTTTCATTATTAAATAATTTAATTTTAGCTGTAATACGTCATTTGATTGGATAACATAACCGCGAAGCAGTTTATAGAGCCTAAACTGCCCCAAGTTTGCTTATATCGTATAACATAAGTTAAAATTAGCTTCATTCCTTAAAATTCCATGGTATCTCTTTTCACAATGAAGAATTTTGTTTGTTATTGCGAGTCAACAACCGATTTTTGCAACATGATAAATTTTTACCTTGGATAATGAAATTTTAGTCTAGTAAGATGTGTGTTTATTAGCGCCTTCGCTGTGACAGAAAACTTACTAGTAATTAATCTATGACAGCTAAGTTTAGCTGTGGAACAAAATAATCTTGATTACGTCATATACCCTAACCCTAATCTTATCCAACTGGTGGATAGATATATTTCTTGACGTCATAAATGGGTAATGCACTTCACTGAGGTACTTAATTTCAATGACGTCAAATACCAGTAAGTATTTCTTGATAACGTCAAAAACGGGTACAGTACTTCCCGGTCGGTATTTTAATTTCGAAGACGTGAAAAACCAGTAGGTAATTCATGAATAGATTTAATTTCTTTATAACATCCAAAGTGGGTACTGCACTTTACATAGGGCTACTTAATTTCGATGCCATCAAAAAAGTTCTCGATGACGTCAAATTCCGATAGGTAACTCGTGGTCAGATTAAACTTTTATTGGTAACGTCAAATTTTGTTGAGTATTCTACCTCTAGGAATAGAAAGATACTAAATCTCGATTACGTCATAGTGATCAAGATTTCGTACCACTTTATGAGAGGTATAGATAACACTTTTGACGTTATCAAGAGATTTAGACTGATATTAAGTTACCAACCGCTATTTGACGTTATTTTACGTTATAATAAGATTTAAATTGTTCGTTAGTTACCAACCAATATTTGTTTATCAAGAGTTTTAGTATTTTTTCACCTTTTTGAACTTGCATGAAGTTTCATTTTTCAAGTGCACAAAGGATATCAATTTTTAATTAATTTTTTCTGGTTTAATGAAGAAAAACTTTTGATAAGATGCGGTTCTTGAATTATTATTATTATATGTTCTGAATATTTAAAATTAAATGGTTTTTTTCCTTTGTTGTCGACAGATCAGTTTGGTTTCAATGATGGAATACCAAGTTTAGGTCATTGTTATCTTCTAACTTAACAATCAAACAACATCGTCATATATCAGTAAATTATACATTAAAAAAGATATGAATAATTAAACTAGCTTTTGTCATCCTTTATACAATCTTTAAGAAAATGCTGGAAACAAAATACATTTTTTAAAAGAAGGATGTTAAAGTAGGTAGAAATTATCATCGACTTTTTGGTGTAAGAAAAACTGCTCAGTTTATTAAGAGAAAAGTTAACAATAATATGCATTCAATTTGAAAGAACTTTAACCCGATAAATGAAACAAATGGGATGCTGTGAGGTCCATGTAACACTTGACAATTTTCTAAAATGATTTTGAGTTTAGAATGTTAATATATTAGTTCAAATTTCTAAATTTCAAAAACTCAAACTGATTTGGTATATTGAAATTTGATATTTTAGTTCAAAAATCTAAATTTTCAAATTTCCAAACAGGTTTTAAAGTTTTACTGTTTCACATTCTTACCTTAAATGTTCAAAATTCAAATTTCCAAAAACGATTTTTTATTTTAAACTTTTGAGTTTTTAATCTACGTTTTGTTCATAGTTAGGGCTACGCTTAACTTTCCAAAATTCGGTAACATATTTTGTCTTTTGATTATTTAAAATTTACCTAAAAAACTTCTAAATTTCAACTTTCAAAACGGTTTAGAATTTTAGAAATTTAGAATTTTGATTCAAACACTCAAATTTTAGATATTCTAAAACACTTTTTACATTTTGTGTTTTTAGTCTTTTACTTCAAATATCAAAAATATCAAATTCCAAACCTGTATTGAATCTAAAGACTATTTCAAAAACTCTTTTGGTCAAGCAAAAGAGCTTTTAGATAGTTAAAATATTGGACGGCTTTTCAAAATGAAAATCGGGTTTGAAATTTTGATATTTTGGATATTTAAAGTAAAATTCTAAAAACGCAGAGTGTTTTGGTTATTTGAAATACGAATGAATCAAAATACCAAATCTCCAAAAAAAAAAAAACCTTTGGAAAGTTGATATTTACAAGATTGAAGTGAATTTCAAATAATTAGAAGACAAAAATGTTACTAAACTTAAGATTGTTAAACGTAAACTTTCTGAACAAACGGTAGATTAAAAACTCAAAAGTCAAAAATACAAAAATCGTTTTTGGAAATCTGAAATTTGATTACTAGTATTTTAAGTAAAACAGTAGAAAATTAAAATTGTAAACCTGTTGGAAATTAGATAATTTAGATTTTGGAACTAAAATGTTAAAAACTGCAATATACCAAATCAGTTTGACATTTTTGAATTTTAGAAATTTGAACTATTTTATAAATATTCTAAAACCCTCAATCATTTTAGAAATTTAAATTGTTAAGTGTTACACGGACCCTCTGAACATTCGAAGTATTAGTTTAGTTTGGCATAGAGCCCAGGTCGCGGCGGACCTTGATAAAATATAGTAGCATCCTTTGCAAAGCTCTCGGCAGTACTGAAATAATATAAAGTTGCGGTTCCTTCGGATGATACTTAAAACTGAGGTCCCGTGCCACGGCAGGCGGTGTAATCCTCCATTACTCAATTGACACGTGTGCCGAGTAAGGGCCTAAATTTGAAACCCATCACCCATGACGTCTCTATGTGGGTAAAAAAATACTTGGATGCAACACAAAAAAAATACAATCAATCAAATGAAGGAATCGATCACCTACAAGATTGGTCGGCCGACAAAAAAGGATGTCAAAATCAGGCAAGACAATGGCAGATGAACTGTCAACTGTCCCCTTTAGAATGCGATTTTTGCCACAAAAATGTCAGCCGTTGGTCGTTTTTCGAAAGGTGACAGGGATATAACAGTTAAGTCCATCTCTGAAGTAATGTTTGTTTGCCCTCTCCCGACTCAAGATTATAAAAGATGTGTCAATAGATAGGTGGACCCCCCCCTATTTTTTTTTCCAACATTACGAATCCAGAGTATTTTTTGTAGGTTTGTCGGCTAGTAGGTTGGGAGAGGGCAAAGAAACATTTTTTTAAAGTTGTTCTAGACAGTAGTAGTAATATTACAAGTAGATGCACATGACTATTCTTTTTATTTTTTATTTTTTGGTTATATAAAATGAGCATGCACATGTTATATCTTGTTCCTAATTGTTATGCAATTGTTCTTTAAAGGGAAATTCAAAAAGAGATACACCCGATTAATTAATGTATGAAACACCGACGGACAATTATTTTAATGGCTTAAAATTTTTACACAAATTATTTTTAATTTGTTGAATTTATGCTTTGAAAACAAATTATTTAGGACAATTATGCAATAAAATATATCTGAAAAACAAAAATAAAAATTTGAAATTTCCTTTCAAATAAAAATATTCAAATTACAAAATTACATCCATCTTGGACAGTTGTATACTTGTACACAAGGTTTTAATGAAAAGAAAAGCTGCAATTATTGAAATAAGGAAATGTCCCACCACTGCTCAAGTTGGTAATATCACTCCAAGCGCTCAAAATCTAAGCGTTTTCCCGGGGGGGGGGGGGTCCAAACACAAGGCTCCAAATAATGACGTTGTGGTGAAAAATGATGTGTTATTTTAAAAGACTATCTAGTGCCTACGCGAACGACCCTTCTGAAATCGAGATACTTTTTTGTAACTGCTCTAGAAGGGTCGATCGCGTGTCTAAGTACACTTGGAAAGAGGTATACGTCACAGAGAAAAGAATTCAGAAGTGTAAAATACAATTGTAGATAATGAAGCCTGTTAAGGTATTTATAACAACCATATTCATAGAAAATATGAGCCTATAACATCCATAATGATAGATATTCTTAATCTTATAGCATAATAACATAATGTACCATAATCTGCCTATTATTAGCCGAGAAAAGTGCACTAGAAAGGTGTGGGTAATCTAAAGAGGCCTTGTTGTCCAAGTATGACAAACTTTAAGAATTAAATTTTCAGTCAGATTTGACTTTAATTAGACTTTAGTTTCAATTCTTAGAACCTAGCTGGAGCAAACTATATTAATAAAAATTACAACAAATATTTTGGCGGTGTAATTTGAACCCTCAATTTGAATTGTTAATTCCTTTACTTTATATCTCGAAACCTACGATTTTTCTTGTAGAGTAGAATCTCGACTTGTGTTTGTTCCGTTTCTTCGAATGCCGTCTCGACTTTCTCCACGGTTTCTTTTTCTGTCAGGTCGCCATACATGAAACTGCACGTGCTGCTCTTCTGCATGACTTCCGCGCGGTTGTAGCCGGAGAGTTTGCAGAAGCCGTCGTTGCAGTACACAATGGGGTAGTCCATGATCCGGGCGTTTGCCAGGAGGAAACTGCTGTCTGTGAAGAGAAGGAGAGACGACTATTCAATAATATACAGATCAGTGAAATTCATATTGTAAGGGCTTACACCAAACAAGGGAGCCGCAAAGCGGAACATCCCCTCGCAAAGAGCATAAATCCCAATGCAAATTACGTGGCTTTTGTTTCGCACAGCATGAACTCAATCACCCACTCACCCAAAAGAACACACTTCTGTTAAAATGGACCAGAATACCTTAAGTTTTAACACAATAACAAAGTTATGTGTGGACAGCATTAGATTATTGCTTAAAAATGAGGCATACGAGTTTATGTATAATATGCATTATGGTACAAGCAATATAATATATTAAAGTTAATGACAGAGAGGCATTGATGGAGCCGAACAGTAAGGCAGAATATGTAGGTGGAGCAGGGTGAACCAAAGACGGAATGCATTTGTAACTGATAGTGCGGTTTATTAATATGAGATGAATCAGGGTGAACTAAATGGAAAGCAGGTTACATCAAAGAAGATGTGTTTTAGCTAGGCGGTAAAACGGTGTTAACCAATTCTAGAAAATATTAATGAAGCAAAGTTCATCTTGGTGGGAGAATGAGATGGTTCAGGGTTAACCAAAGACGGAAGTTTTTGAATGATCAGGTTCAGCTTGGAAAGAGTATGGGGTCGTCAGTCGCGCATGGATGGGGTTAACCAAAGGTAGTTTTTACTGTGGGATTGGCTGAACTAAAAATAAAATATACGGGTTGGTGAAGTGGGGTTGGAGGAAAGTTAAGGAAAGTTACAGTATTTAGAATTTGGTGACAGAGAGTTGATTTGTCAAAGACAGAATCAACTATGGAAAAATTTAAACCAAATACATGTACCAAACACATTCACTGTATTAATTATAACTGTATTAGTTTAGCAAAATGTTCTGAGTAAACAATTCTCCTAATAATATCTCAAGTTATAAAAAAAATGGCTGTGGGTCGGTCACATATGTAGAATGCATCCACCCTCTATCCTAAGAGTCGCATTGAGATGAGCACCAACTGGTAATAAAAAGAGAGAAAGACCAAAAGAGACATGGAGAAGATCGGTGGAGAAAGAAATAAAAGGGAACAACGGGTCATGGCGACAGGTACAAAGATGGACACAAGGCAGGCCAACATGGAAGTCTCTGGTGACGGTCTTATGTGCTAACCAGCACGAAGAGGACTAAGTAAGGAGTGTATAATTGATGGAGTCGGATTGCCTATGACATGACTAGGTAGATTTTATCGGTGATATTGATATTGATAACATATAGCCAAGGAATGAATTTTCTAGGTCTGAAATGAACTGTGTCATGAAGAATAAATGATAGTTTTATGTAAAAGAAAACTAGACAGGGGTGGCAAGTCAAACTCACAAAAATGAGCTAAACATAGTTTCACAGTCGATAAACTAGGTTTATCGGTTGTGACCTATAGTTTACGGACTGTAATGTAAACTATAGTATAAAACGTTAAACTATATTTTACTTCTGTAAACCATAGTTAACGCCATAATCTAGTTTCAGAACCGTAAACTATACTTAACACTGAAAGCAAGCATTTGCGATTGCAAAACATAGTACATTATCATGAATACAGTTTCACGATTTGTAAACTATGATTTACAACTCTTAACTATAGTTTACGATTGTAAATTATAGTTTACAGACGTGAATCTACGTTTTTCAACAACTTCTATATTGTTAATGTTTTATTACAGATAGATAAACTTCGATTAGCATTCATAAACTATAGGTAACAACTGTTAAATATAGTTTTATAGATGAAAACTATAGTCAACGAATTGTTAACTATGGTTCACGGTTTGTAAACTACAGGATAAACCTAGTTTATCAACTGGGAAACTATGTTTAGCTCGTTTGTGTGAATTTGGCGTGCCATAGATGACGTACTCAGGTTTCAGAAAACACAAAGGAAATATTTAAAAGTATAATATGTTAAATCAAAAATTGTTCTAAATGTGTAAAATAACCACGTTTTAACTCAACATTAATTTTGATATTTAGTATTTTATTATTCGAAGAAAATAAATAGGAACAAAAATCAATGTGTGGTAATGCAGAGGAAATTCGGACAAAATTTTTTAATTTTTCATTTTTATGAAAATTTCTTAGTTGTTGCAATATTAATTACAATTTAAAGGTTACATGTATTTTTAATCATCATTTTGCAAATATTATTATGTGTTAAAGCTCAAATTTTTTTTCCAAATAATTAACTGCTATGAAATGAAGAAAATCAAAAATATGAACAAAAACCATCCCAGACAACATATCTCAATAATTTGATCATTGACCCCATATAATATTAATACCATGAGAATTAGGGCAACAAAAGTAACCTGAGGCTACAAATAATCTCGAGTTCTTATCATTCAGATTTTTAAAATATTTGTTCAAAAATGGGGGAAAATGTAAATATGACAGAGTAAATTCGGACTGTAATAATTATTTTAAGTTTATGGCCCAAACTCTAATCGTTTCTTTTTATGAAGCAACGCTGTTCCCTTGGTCATAGTGTGAAAATTGAGGTATTTTCCGAGAAATATTCAGGGGCCACTAGCATGAAAAGTAGGTCATTGACCTAGTTGATTACTAGTATTTGAAATTGAAATTTAACACAAGAATCATAGGTGTACAATGTGCAGTAGGTGGTTTTTCGTTCTTATCAGTGGAATTTTTTTGTCTTCTGAGTAAAGGTATACCTTAAGTAAGTTGAATTAATGAATGAAATAAAAAGGTTATAAAGATGGATAGAGATATTTCATTTTCCGAAAGACCTCAAACTCCAATACATCATATAAATATTAAGCAGTACATCATTTGGTGTAATACTATCTTATTCTAAAAGCTTTTTCCAGAACTTTTTTTTCCTCTTCCTTGTCGTACATCAAAACAAGGTATAATCATTTCCATGAAACATTTTTTTGACATTTAAGATTGTTACAAAAGAATCTTTGACCATTAGCATCTAATGGGTTTTGATTTTATTAGAAACTCTGTTTCTTTTGAGCTGAGTTTACGATGGGGTTATTTTTACTGCCTCGGTACTAAGCAGGTTTAAATGGTTCTTTATTACAAGATTTGGTGTGATTAACTTTTTAAAGTAAACCTTCCTGGTGCAAACAAATATATTCCATATCTGGGCCCTGATCATCACAAATTGCATACTTTATTGAATATTTTGAAACATGAACTTTATCATTTTTTAATAAAAATAGAAAACCCCCGCCTCGATTTTTTTTATTTCTGTTTTTCTTCGAAACATGAACTGTTGATTTTGACAGCTGAAAAGATGTAATTGCTGTAATACACGGTATATATTTTAAACAACTGGTTGAAAAGATTGGTGATTTTTTTTTATGACTTTTATTCTGGTATTGTAGATAAAAAACACTAGGTTAAAAAACAAAATTGAAAAAATATAAAATATATAAGGAATTTTAAAAAAAATTCGGATGAGAATCTAGCAATTTATTTATTATGGCCTTATGGGGGAACTTTGTTTTTTTTAATTATTCAAAGACTTTAACATATAAGGAATATTCGATGCAATGTCTTGTTATGTATTGCCATTTAAATTGAAATCTATATTTTTGCGTGTGTACTTGACTGGGTTTCAGTACGGACAAGATAACTTTTTTTTTTAATTTCCTGCCGTGGGTTTTATTGTGGGCTGGGTTTGGACCGAGGCCTGCTTTTTCTCATGGCCGTATGCGGACATTCCTGTACACAGACCACTCTTTGCTGGTTAACCAGTCGGATTGTATCAAACATCGATCTAAAAATCGATCCCCCATGCTTTCAATGCCTTTTGAAATTTAATTTGCGTCAGTTTCGCCATCAATGTCGGGTATGGAGAGTCCGGATTTATTCTGCGATATCAATTATTCCACCGTCTTTAATATCTTCTAGTTCTGTAATGTGTTCTTTGATTGACTCATCATTTGGCCATAGAGAAGGTGTTTTGTGACGTCACATGTATCATTTTCTATCGCCGAGTGATTTTGAAATTCTTTGAGATGTATTGCATGTTAATGTTTGGTAAATCTTTTCATAATAATAAATGAGAAAACCAATAGTCAATATTGAGCTATTCCGTAACAGCGGGAGGTATGCCTTTATGCACGCCAGAAGTGAGTAGAACTAATCTGGCTATCGATATCCTCTCGGAAATATCGATCGAGTACGACCTTGCGATTGATTTATTTCGGTTTAAATATCGGATAACGGCAGCCTGAGATTTAAATAGCAATAATTGAAACCTAATGAACGTAAAGAAGCGAAATCTCATTACGTTTCTCAGCAGCCCTGGCATGCTCTTAGTGGATAAAAGACGCTCTTTTCTGGGACTATTATTTGTTTCCAAGACCCGTTTCTTGGAATCGAAGTCAGGAAAGAGGGTCCCATTCATTATCGGTTTTTTCCAAAGAAACAAACATTTTAAAATTATTTATCATCAAGTAAAATTAATTGACATACTACTCAGAGTGTATAATCCATTTCAAATATATGAACAAGACACTATTAGTTCTAATATTTGCTCATTAGCGAGTGATTTAATTATAATTCAAATAAGATACAGCTGTTAATGGATATAGATCAAGCATGCGTGCAGCGTGAGAAATTGAATTTCTGTAATGATGAAAAATAAAAGAATCGAATAAATATTTTTCCTGCGTCACGAGAGGATCCGCTTGAATTATGTGTATTTACATTGGTTTTTGTACTCTTATCAAATTCCATCGCACGGGTTTTAAATAATAGAAATCCTTTAAAAATCTCCATGTTTGGGCAAAAATACGTATATAAAATGCCAAAGACTATTTTCCAGATAACCTATTCCGCGCTTCAGTAAGATTTATGACTTTTGATAATGACACTTTTATACATTAGGGATGATTTTTCATTAAGAGTTTTCTCGTTTGATATATTTGAGAGAAGTTGAAAATAATACAAGAGAAAAAAATCTCCTGATAA